AAGCAAGGCATGTTTATTTATGTAGTAAATTAAAGGTACAGTCAGGATTTGTATATTAAAAATAGAGTTTTTTGGGTTTGAGAGGTTTTTGGATTAGATCGAGTGTTTTTTTACGTGCTTCCAACTCAGTAAGTCCACAAGACACAAACTCAAAACTTTCATACAAAATCTTGGACATTTGAAGGATTTCATAAACTCCCCCGGACGAAGCCGGGCAAGGACGGACAGGCCAGACAGCCCCCCAAAAAGAGGACATGTCCGGGTGAAAGAGGACGTATGGTCATCTTATTAAAAATAAAAATGAACATTAAAGTCATTTGTTCAACTGATCTAATAAAAATCAGCAGTAAACAGGTGAGTCTACAACTTGAATTTAAAAGAACTTGGAGTGGAAATTTTCTGTTAGTTTGTTCCAAATATGTGGAGCTTAAAAAACGAACACTGCTTCTCCAAGTTTGGTTCTGCCTCTGGGGACAGAGACCAGACCTGCAACAGATGACCTGAGCCATCTGCATGTTTCATACTGAACTAGAAGATCACTAATGTATCTCGGACCTAAAATATTCAGTGCTTTATAAACCAGCAGCAGCATTTTCAAATCTATTCACTGACAAACAGGCAGCCACAATGAAGTGAGGTGGCCTTGTGGGTAATGTATGCAAGGGATGTAGCCTGGCATTCTTTTTTTTTTTTTTTTGGTGGGTGGGGTGCTGCGGATATAAAGAAGCATGTGTTTTCCATGGGTTGTTATATTGCAGTAGCTAACACAGCAGAAAAAAGTGTCTAAGTAAGCAAAATTAACATCACAATTAAAAAAAAAAAACCTTTCTTTCCTCCCTTTGCTGCCTTCTTAGCTCCTCCCACCAAACAGTGCACCAAACTGTTGTAAGACAAACTGTCAAGATTGCTCCAACTGCCTTAAAGTGCAGAAACACTGATAAATGATCAATAAAAATACATCCTATTTTAAATCTAAACAGAGATAACCAGAGCGTGCTCTCTGCTTACACCAAGGCCAGAGGAAAGAAACAGACAGAGAAACAGAGAGCTGCTGACGCATGCAGGTCACGCTGAAGCTTAATGTAAGTTTGTAAAAAAATCACAGTGATTGACTATTAGCAACAATGATAGCTTGTTTTCAAAAAGCAGAACTACAGAAGAGGAAGAGCAGATGCTTGAAAAAGAAAGAAAAACAGAACAGACATGCCTGTATAAAGGAACATTTCTAATCGCTGCAACATTTGCGTGTAGGTGTGCTTTTTATCATCTAAAAGGTGAGCTGTGTTGTCTATAGGGTGCGACCAATATGCCAGAATAAAACGCAGAAAGAGCTTTTTCATTGTGTAGGTGTTTGACATAAAAGATGGTGCTCCAGGACAAAGCAGGGTGGATGCATAGAGAGGGAAGACCAGTCTAATAATGTCGTTTTCTAAACTCTTTCCTCCTTCATTGGGTCATTATCATGCCTTTTAAGAAAACAGTGGTACGCTATTAAGTAAATAAACCGCGTGGAGTGCAGTTTGATTAAAAAGAGTGCTCATTTTGAGGCATCAAGCAACCAGCAGAGGTGGGTGTTGAGTCTTTGCCAATTGGTCACAGAAAGCGAGTCTGTCAGTAGTTGAGTGATGATAACAGATGATATGGGAGGAGCTGAAAATCAAAGTAACTGCATGCAGCACTAAGAATGTGTTATTTGAACAGAAATAGGAATACAATAATGTCATCTAATGTAGATTTAAGGATGTAAAGTGTAAAAGTAGCTCAGAGGCATCATTCTGACAACAGTTTTTGTTTACTTTAAATCCACCGCACTCAAGCTGAACAAATCGAGGAGTGCATTACTGCCTTTATAATTGCAGACTTCACTGTAAATTACTCATACTGTAATCTACACACACTCTCTCTCTCACACACACACACACACAGTACCAGATAAGTTCAGGTTCCCGTAGCTGGGAGGCAGAGCAGAGAGTGCAGGGGCTGTGGGACAGTGACTCAGCTGAGTGCTGACTCACAGCCTCAGCTGTAGTCAAAGAGCAGAGGGCCGGGCGGGTGAGCAGTTACTATTCTTACTGCAACTCTTTCAACATGTCTGCCTCGTCTCTCTCCGGCTTATACCATCCCAACAGCTGCCAGAAGTCCCTACTGTATGATATGAAAGCTTTTTTCTTTTTTTACATCAGCACATACAGAGTTCCTGTAGAATCCTAACGAGACAAGGTGAAGACATCTTTCATTTATCACTGAAACTTAGCTCATATGCAGGGGTTGGGCGTCCGTCTTTAAGTTGAATTTCATCCTAATTTTTTCTCCTAAGTCTCCAGCAGCTTTTTGAAAATGTGGCTCAGGACTCATAAAACTTCATCCACCCTGTTTTGCACAAACACACTCAAACATGCACTCACACACACACACACGCTCACTGAGCGCCGTGACCTCTAGGCCATTAGGTCAGCCTCTTGAAGTTGTCTCCAAAGCACTCATCCACTCTCTTCCCGTAAGTACCGTTTGTTTATTTATAACTCCAGCAGCTGTATCTCATCTTTTCTCACTCACTCTTTCTCTCTCATCTGAGGCTCAGACAGACTGTATGTGCAGATGGGCTCAGACAGAGGAGGTAAAGATAACATTCCTCAGCTTAAAACACTCCACCCCCAACAGAGGGATAAAAAGCCGTACAGTGTAACAGCCTTAAGTCTATATGTGGTGCTTGTGGAGATGTTGGAGGAAGTTATTTATAATATAGAACTACGTCTTATATGACTGACAATCATTTCACAGGAGAAGCGCTGTTTTTGACAGAGATGCAAGGCTCATGTTTAAAAAAGGTAACCAGCATATGCCTCCTGTGTAGGTGTAGGCAACCTTTATTGACTATGATACACTGCATATTCTTATAAAGTATATGTTTACTTTCTTTATTATTTTATGAGATTTTTATGCCGTCACTCAGAGAGGACAGGACAGTGGAAAGAGCAGGAAACCAGGAGAGAGAGAGTGCGTAGTGAAAAGCAGGACCCGGGTCGCCCCCTTGGAGACTACAGCTGCTGTACATGCGACACATGACTTCACCGCGGGGCTTGAACCAGCGCCATAATGTATATCCTTTTAGTGTGTGAAATGTTTTTATAAATAAAGAATGACCAGTCTGACGGACTAGTTTTTTTTGTTTATATTTGTCTTTTTTTCAGCAGATTTTTCTTTTTTTGTCACCATATTTTAACATGTCTGTGTATATGGAGTAAAAGCAACAATTTTTGGGGGAGGTCACATGATCAGTGCACCATGACCTAAATAGATCCCACTAATAGTATTTCTATATGTTAGTTGTGTCTGCTATAAGCACTGCAACCAAGTTGTCAAATTCCCGCAATGCAAACCAAACAAGTTAAATTTCTCCTGCAAATCTGAAAATTCACAAACATTTTAAAACTCAGTTTAAAGGTCCTTACACGCTGGGGCCGACGCGAATATAGAACACGAAATTACGAAATATTCGGAGGCAAATTTTGACGCGCCTGACTATACACATCAAGCTCGACGCGATTTTGCGACTTTCCGGGGGGAAAAGACGCATCCCGGGGAAGACTTTTCCCGGTGGAAAGTCCTGCCTCCTTCACCTCTGATTGGCTAGAAAAGCTGGAAATGTCATCACTTGCTCACGCCAAAGGGTCAGCACATATAGCCAATCGGAGGCGATAAGATAAGCACATGAAACTATGGTAACAACCGTTAGCTTATGTTAGCACAGAGAAAAGTTAGAACAAAGACGTTTAGCAAACTGTTAAAGCACACAAACCATCGTCATATCAGAAATCCAACGCTATGACTCTCCACAAGTTGTCCTTCAGGTCGTTATCTTTGTAATGTTTGTGTCTTTTATCAAAAAGCACTCTGTTCTCCGAAACGTAAACAATCAGCCGGTCAGCCATGTTGGATAAACTGGTGAATCAGACGTTACAACAACATGCAATCTGATTGATCAGAAGTGGACACACAGTCTGCGAAAACGACCATGACCTGAAAAAATAAATGCCGCAATAACGCAGGACGGGAAAATGTCGCTGATGTGAACACTTGTATTGACAGGATACGGGTTTGAAAAAAAATATTGATGTCAGAAATAATCGCAGGACAAAAACGGTCCCGGTGTGAAAGGACCTTAAAACTTTGTTATACTTTTTAAAAACCCAAGCAAAGAAAATGCGATGTTATTGCTTAGCTGAAAAAAATAGCAGTTAACACAGGTTTGTGTACCAAGTGTAAAAGGTTCATTGAGGTGCCACTGGTCCTGCAGTCTGAGCGTGCCTCACACAGCTTTGACTCTATACTTACCTGCTCTCTCACATCCTGTTTCCTGCACTGTATTCTTTCCTCTCTAAATAAAGGCCAAAAGCCTTCACCCCAATTTCTTGTAATTCAAGACTTCTGAAAAGTAGAAGTACGATTTTCTCAGACATTTTATGGCCTTTGATTGTAAAAATTAGACTGTCTGACTTTTTATGACCTTTTAAAGATCGTATTCAGATCTATCCTGCTGACTAAATGCGTTTGGAAAAAAACGGCCTATCAATGGCTCAACCTCTCCACATGGTAGAAATGTGGCCCTAACTTTGTCCAAAGGATCTTAACAACAGACATGATCACCAAACATGGTAGACAGTAAAACCTTACCAGTGGTAAATAAGTCTGCCAGCTCAGTCGGAAAGAAAGTGCGTGAATCAGTTGGCCTGCGGCGGCTCATTGTTGCGCTGGCTGGCAGGTAATTCAGTAAAGAGGAGGGGCCGTGCTTTTGGCATGCAGGGTGATATTTCTACCACGCTGGGGGATTCTGTCTGCTTGGCAAGTTCTTTTATTTAGCTGAAGGGAATATTTCTGCCATCTGAGGCACCTCTGCCTGGTCAGCAGGTCGTTCTTCCAGAGGTAGAGAAAAGGGGCAGGAGGGCCAGCGTCTTTTATGGCGCTGTTTGAAGGTTCATTTCCAAAAAGAGTTTGGAGGACACGAAAATGGCTTCGCTTTGACGCTGACTGTAGCTGTCTTGACATCGTAGTCTCAACCTCATGAGGGATCTCTTAAAAACGGCGGATGGTGGAGTTGGTAATGGATACAGCAAGTGACCTGCAGAAATAAAAAAGCCACAGGCAATTAGGAGAGATGCTGAAGAAGTCTCACTGCACTGTAGTGTGTGAGTGTGGTCCAAATTAAAATCTAATTTAGTGTAGCATGAAGATTAAAAAAAAAGTGTGTTTCATTTCTTCAATTTGCACAAGTATTCCATTCCATTAGACATGTAATTTCTGCTCATCAGACACTGGGTGAAATTGGTGCCCCAAAGGAGAGCTTTTTTCATTTCGAGTAATTAGTGCTGCAGAACAGGGATGAGCAAGCGTGCATGCATGCGTTTTTTTTTTTTTTTTTTGCACACGTGGGCAAGGGAGAAAAAGAGGGAGGAATAGGAGTGTTTGGGAATGTGATAAGGAGGCACTTATTATTGCTTTTGAAGCACTAATTCCAGTCTGTGAAAACTGGAACAGCCAAAGATCTTTTGGCGATTGATTTGTCCGTGTCTATTCACGCTCATGTTTGCCTTTTTCCTTTGTGAGCTCTCAGCTCTCACTTGCCTCTTTTGTACGCCATCACAATCACTCAGAGTCGACACTAACAGGACCTTTAAATGACGCAGTACTGTCCCTACAGATACAGACAGATCAAAGGCACTGGATTGTAGAGCCAAAGAAATGAGGTCCTGCTGAGATGACCCGACTGCTGCCTACTCACTTACAAAGCTTATTAGACTGACTCACCATGCTGGATGTCATGCCCATTTACCAGCATCCAAAGGCTACTAAGGCAGGGTGACCATAGTGGGTGGTGGTGTGCTGAGTCTTTGTACTTTACCCAGCAGTCCTGGCTCTGATTGGAATGATTGTGTTCAACTCTGTATGAGGTTGCACTGATCAGGCCTTGTGACTCATTTTTTATACAAGTAGAATAAGCCAGAAACTGTCTTCAATTTACAGCTAAACTCCTGTAATAGTTTGTCCAGAGAAAACTCTTCTCCGTTAACTAACAGACCTCACATAGGCAAATGTCCAAAAACGAAAAGATGAACAGATGCTCGAAAATTGCCACCAGAATAATGCCAAATAGGAGAATACTTTTGCAGAGCAGGACTCGCATGAATCTCCACCACAAATATCCAGAAATAGTTACTTGGCTGCAGAATACACATTACGGCAAACTTTAAAAAAAATTAAAATTACAATTATTGATCCAAGAAAATAAGAAATTTAGATGATGAAGCCCAAATCTGCTTATTTTGTTTCACTTGTCTTCAGGGCAATAAAGTCTGTGGGAGGGTAATGCAAAGGTAGCCCATAAAAACAGTTTTGAATCTCTTTAAAACCCTGTTTGGAAAATGATGAGGCACTGTATAAAAGCTGATAAAAACAGAAACTGAATCTTTTTTCAGTTTCTGAAAATTAAATTGCAGATATTCAGGGTTGGAACTGGCACTTGAACTTTTTTACATTAGTATGCATCCATTCTGAATTCAGCCACAAACTTGATCTACATTTACACAAATTTCCAACTCTTTTTTTGAATCATAGCACATGTTTTTTTTCGCTCTTTAAATCCTAATTATTAATCCTTTCCAAGCTGCAGGAACAGAGATTGAACATTTAGTGGTTGTTTCTTGCTATGATCACACTGACTATGTTAATAAATGTGAGCTTGCTCTGACTTCAAACTTATGGGCCCACTGACAGTATCTTGTGCTACAGGCTCAGTGACCTCAATTGCAGAGCACTTCCCTATAGCGCCAACTGTTGCTATGGTGAAAAAGTTGAACCTCGGCACTACAGCTACAGCGAGTTATGACTGTTAAGTCTGTTTTAAATTACACTGTGTGCTTCTTGATCTGGTTGATTTTTACAAATAAATCTGATATCATAGCATTAGCAGTAATTTCTGTCCCTGGAAATTGTAGCCTTGGGGGAAAGAGTGTGGTTGGTTTCTCTTAAATAATGTCTTCTGCCATTGTTTTTGACAAAGTTAATAACAGAAGTCCCGCCTCTTTTTGGATTTGATTGGCACTGACATGACACTGTCGAATAAGTTGAATCAATTTAAAATAAAAGGCCTTCTCTGAACTTAGCTCTGACTATAGACAGTATATAGAATCAGTGTTTCCCCTAGAATTTTGGTCAGCAGCTTCTGTGTCTGGGGGTGGTGGTGGTGTTGGGGGGGTCCGACAGGATTTGATGCGCTCGTTAAAGACTTCAAACAAGTCGGAAATAACATTGTGTCTTGTTGTGCTCACACAGTGTGAGTGCTACTAATGCTTTTAATGCTACTTGTTATATAAACGATATAAGCTTGAGCGTTACCTTTTGCGTTGATAGAAGAGGGTTCGACACGATTTGATGCGCCTGTGGATGACTCAAAACAAGCCGAAAATAATGTTGCGTGTTCTTCTGCTCACACAGAGCGAGTAGAAATCATTTGCATTGATATTACTGATTATGTGAAATTTCAGTAGCGGTGCACGTAATTCGCCACTGCTGAATGAATGTAGGGGAAACACTGAGAATGGACAGCGTCTGCCTCCTTGATGGGTGAAGCCACCCCGAGAACAGCACCCTCTGGTGACGGGCTGCAGTATCGGTCATAAATCCCGCCTCCTCCAGCGATCCCTATGGAGGTGTGGACAAACTTAAGAAATTTATTACACAGAATATAAATTTTTCTCCCCCCTGCTTCTGATGTTGACATGTAGTTATTGTAAGACTGATTTGTGTTCAAGTCCTCGTTTTTCTGTACCGCTCCATTTTTAAAAGTTATTAGGGGGTTCATGTTTTCTATGATTGACACCTTATACAGCCTATGGGCGTAAGAAGATTGCATAGCTCACCCTGGGGGATACGCTGTTTGAGCCGAGCGTCATCACAGCAGCTCTTGGCGACTCTCTTGCCAAATGCGTACAACACTACGACGCACTCTTGGTTTCAGGAAGTGGAGAAAAAACACGCAATTACCGAGAGTTTTTCGGCTTCAATTCCGTATACTGGCAGAAGACGGAACTAAGTTGTCCATAGTTGTACAGTCTATGAAACTGACACTGAGCACAGGAAACACTAAACTCTGTTGGTTTAGTACTAAACTCAGCACCGCCAGCAGCTCACTAAAACCCTCACATTATCCACATGTGGTGTTGTAGGCAGTTTTACTTAAATCACGAAGCTTCATTATTCATATTAAAGCTGTTTTAAAGCCTTAAAGAAAACAACCTTGATCTTTGCTATACAGATATAGCCTGAGTGTTTAAATGAATTCAGCTTGGCCCCAAGTTGTAAAGGACTGACACATCAGTTTTCTAACATTTAGTTAGCAATCAATTCCTACAGGTCAGGCTGTGATTAGAGAGTTTAACATTATCTGGACATAATGTTAATAGTTATTTGACAAGATTAAATGCTAAATAAATGCAAATGGACTTCATTTCACGGTTCTTTTCTACCTACAAGACAAAGAGCTTCACAAATTCTGCCATTCATTCGCCTATTCAAACCCCTATTCAGTAAGATTATACAAAAGCTCTCAGCCCAAAGCAGTCTGCTGCTTTTTATTGAAGACAACTGTTTAAAGATTTCTGATACAAGTCAAGGTTGTAGAATATAGAGAAAAGGATTTAAACATAACCACGAGTCCAAAAGACAAAGAATAAAACCTTTTTTCTATCAGAGGTGCTGTGTTTTGTTTGGTTACACAAAACGGTAATGAATTCAGTGACATTTGTCAGGGCACAGCAATAGCTGAAACAATGGGCAGGGATACTGTTATTCAATTTCTTTCAGGCTTTCAGATTTTTTAAACTCACTTTTTCTCCAAAATTTTGCTCTTCCAGCAGTACTTTGCACTCTAGCTCTCTTCGGTTGAGCGGAGTTACAGGTCTGACATGTGCCACCTTACTGTCACAAGGAGTTGCTGGCTGCCAGCTTGAGCATGCCAGCACTTAACAGCCCAAAAAAAGACCTTACACAAGCTGTTATTCTGTGAGGAACACTAACAAGCACAACGAAAAGTTACTTAAAAGGAGACGTCATTTTATGCCCACTTAATGATTCACACAAAATGTTATTTAACCATAATCTGGTGCACTCCACTCCACTGCGAAAATGATATGGAATTGTTCGAGTTGAAATACACGGATCGAAAATACTGCCTGAAATGTGGCGCTAGGTGTTGGCAAGTATACCGCTCAATGCATTGATTGAATATAATTAGCTCCATCAGAGAAATATACCTTTTTCTTGCACCCACACAATGGGTTACGTTTGACTGTTGCCATTAATTTATGATATTCTAATTTATTTTCTTTATTTTTGATTATGATATTTAAAGGGGAGGGATTATTGTGCTTTTCCACATTAACAAAACCTGCAAAGTTACAAAGTTTAGTGTCCATACTAAAGACTGTATATAGAATGGACAGAGTCTGCCTCCTTGTTGGGTGAAGCCACTGTGAGAACAGAACCCTCTGGTGACGGGCTGCAGTATAGGTCATAAATTCTGCCTCCGTCAGAAAAAGCTTATTGAGTTTTGGACAAACTTTAGAAATTTATTACACAGAACATAAATTTTTGTCTCTCCTGCTTGCGGTTTTGACATGTAGTTACTGTAAGACTGGTTTGTGCTCAAGTCCTCTTTTTTCTGTACAGCTCCATTTTTAAAAGTTATTAGGGGGTTCATGTTTTCTATTATTGACACTTGATACAGCCAGTCCATGCTAAATGTATGCTAAGTTTTGAATTACATGGTTAACGTATGTTGTCATAATCTATGAAAAAAACATGTAAACTGCTCAAAATGGGAGCCTGTGCGAAGACCTGAGACTTACTAAATCTATCCAAAAAAACTTTGTAATATTCTGTTTTTAAAGCCGCTACATAAATAAATTTATCATTATTATTTTCATTATACTCTATTGTAAACTGTATTTACAGATTTAGGATTAAATACGACGGTTTAACTTGAAACATACAGACAGAATACTTTTTTTTCTATTATCACAGAAAGCTCGATCCCTTTGAAAGGCAATGAATTAGTTTATATAATAATACATGTTTCTTTCAAGTCCAAGCAGACGCAGCTAATTTGTGGGAACACTGTCGGTGACTGTTGCGTCTGAGTTTTTTTATTTTTATAAGAACCAATTACCCGCAGACGTAAAAGCAGCGTCTAGCTAAAATTCAGTTGATTTTTAAGGCTCCTAAGAAGATAAAAGTAAGAGAAATCTAAAAGAAAAACTTCTACAAACACAACAATGATTTTTCCTTCAATAATTGGTTTATAATCTTTATTTTATCAGACGCTTCTTCATTTCTGGATGGTATACTATTCAGTAAATAAAAAGTTCAACACTTCTTTGTGCAAATTGGTCCTGATCAGAAGAGATTTCCACACGGGCAATACAAAATCAAGAGCTGTCATATTCACTTCAGGGTTAGTTGGATACATCTGTTGTGTTTTTGGAGTTGCACTATGAGAACCAGCATCAAAATGCAACAGGGTATCTCTCAAGATTATGTTAATCTACTGTCCATGACATGTCTGATACCCAGGGGAGGTTGCACTTCACACATGTGATGAGGCGGGATAAATAATCCAGCGATAAACAGATCCATACTTAATTCAATAAAACCATTACAGCCATCTTGCTCTTGACTCTCAAGTAGGAGTACTTTTCTAACTGAGGTTTATGCACCAGAAAACAAGAAACACGGTTGCTCTCCCTCGCACTGATCACTGACTCCCATGTTCAGGGAAGCAGAGAGCGGGACAGCCAGCCATGGCGAGCAATGTGCTCAAATAACACGGCCTGTCAGCCCAGGCAGCCCTGCCACTTTGATTAAACTATGTACATCAACAGGCCTGCACCCCAGAGGCTCTGGCTAACAGAAGGGCATGGCTCGATGGAGTGAGTCAAGGGTGTGCACGGCTGCCTTTTACCATTACTTTTTCACTTCAGGATTGTGTAAGAGAAAAAAAAAAATACAGGCTTAAGTGGGAGGATCTCAAGTGTAATTTTGTGGCGTCAGAGCTGTGAGAGCACCAGCTGGTCTGTGAATGTTTTAGACCCACTGTGCTGCTGATGAATCTCTACTAGGCTGTGTTGGGAGAAAGTCTTTTATCTGCCACACCACACCTGCAGAACAAGATTCTTAAAAATCCGTCTCCTCTTCACCCATGTTGATGTTAAAGAGTTGTCCCAGTAGGATCTCACATGATGCCTGAACCAGGCTGGGAGGCCTGACCCAGATACAGGATCCCAGCGTCACACACAGCAGCCGGCGATATCACTCTCTCACTTGCACGCAGTTTCTTTCTTTTCCTATTCCCCCATCCCCACCCCACCCTTTCTTTCTTTCCTTCTCTTAAAAAGAAGTGTCGAGCCGTAGAAAAAGGAAAAATGCTCTCCAGGGGAATGAGAATGAGAAGTTGGCTAAAAGTGTTTGTGCGTCTGGAGAAAAATGTGCAAGCGTACACGAAAAAACAGCGAGGCGGTGGAGATATTGCTCCAGTTGTTCAGCAAATTTGTTTTTTAACAGTATATAATTATGGTAATTATAGTAATGTTCCAGAAAACCACTGGGAGAATAATAGCATTCATTTACATCAATAACAGCACTTTAAAGAGTTGGAAGTCTCCTTGGTAAAAATTAGCAGCTCTGCTGTTCCTCTCGACGCTATAAAAGCTCCGGTATTTTTCATTTACGAAGGCGTTCTGCAGGCATGAAGCAGCTGAAATAAAAAATAAATCATTTAACGAGCACAAAAGAAGGTGAGAGTGTCACCTCTGGGTCTGTGAACCCAAATGACCCGCTCTCCCTGAGATTTTCAAGTCTTTTTAGCCCTTCACAAATGACCTTCAGTCCTGCTGCACTGCCTGAACCTGTTTCTTCTTGTGACCAATCGCACAAAGAGAGAGGAAAAAGAGAGAGCACCAGTAAATCCAGCGGGGCCACTCAGAATGAGAAACACTGCGGGTAAGAACGGGCTAATTTATCAGCATTACGTCAAATAAAGAAGAGATAGAGAGAGAGGTAGTGGTGGTGGTGGGGAGTTGGGGAGAGAGAGTGTGGGTTGAGTACACATCAGCAGCAGTTAAAAGAGACATCAGAGATAATGACTTCATTCCCCTTCATCTTTGCTAAGTGTACAGCGGCTTTTTGTTCCCCAGTGGGCTCTACAGATTCTCTTAAAAGAGACAATGGGAAAAAAAAAGTCTGTACACTGAAGTATGATCAACTTCAGCAGCAAATACTTGCTTTCTTAAACTCTTTTTTTTTAATTCCATCAAATGGCCCATTTTTTCAAAATGAGATTAAATGAAGCAATCATAACAGCAAAGAGGATTTAGCATGTCATGCTAGCAAAGCTTTGTTGCTCCGTCTCTCCTCCACATGCAAACACACAACAGATAAATACAAACACATGCTTACTGCGCACACACAGGAGCACACACGCACACGCACATAGACACACACACACTTCTGCTCTCCTAACAGAGCAAGCGGACTGTCATTGATAGCGTCCGTGACAGATTCGTCAGTGGGCGGTGGGCGTGGGTGTGTTGATGCAGTGTGCGTGGGTGGACATGATTTAGTACACACTGGAGCTAACCGCAGTGAGACATGATGGCACTGCTGGAGGTACAAAATTGTCGACAATAGATTATAGCTCTTCATCCTCAACTAGTGTTTATGTTTGGAGCGCTGTAATGTAGCACCTTACAGCTCTTGAGTTCTTCTTCTTTTTCTGCCATTGAATCTTTCTGAAGGATATCTAATAGCTCACTGTTAATCTCTTATTTAAATAAAAGTCTCGATATAAATTCCTTGAAGCTCCTTTGAGGTGATTAAACTGGGCTGTAATTAATATTGATGAATCTTTTTTTGCTCCACAAAAGCAAACGAGAGCATCTTGAGGAAGACCAACTGTTTCTGTATTCTGAGTGTTGGTGCCTCAAATCTCTGCAGTAGGTGTCAAACGTAGCACTGCAGAAACAGCCTGTTTTTTTCTCATTTTTTATATTAAAAACATTGGTAAAACTGGCTGTAGACTTGATTTGTTGTTTTTCTTTAATTGACTTAATCAGCCCAGATATTGGCAGAGGACATTTATTGTAAAATGTCATTAATTGACCTGATCAATTAGTTAATTTCTGTTTAGATTTGTGTTTCAAAATTTCTATTTTAGCAAAACTAATGCACTAAATCACTTTTTAACATTGTGTCAATGTGCTGACTGGGCTATTCATTAAAATATATCGAGATAATGTTTGTGTTTAAAACGATCAAACTGAAGAGATAAGGTTTCAGTTTATCCACAGGGGGCGCCAAAGTCAACCCACACTTAAAGTTCCCTACAGGAGCTTTCCTTCTTATTTTTTTCCCCCTCTTATATTCCTGCATTCACTTCTGAAAAAAATCTTAAAGTATTTGGTGTGAGTGTCATCTTTTTCACCATAAAGCTTTTCAAAAGCCCTCTGGCAAAAACAACAACTTTGAGGACATCCTAAAAGCCACGAGTTGACAACGACAATCTTTTAACTCTAGGGTGACATGTGCACACCCTACAGCAAAATACTCATTTCAATCCTGACAGCGTGCTGTGCATCTCTGTTTGGAGATTAACCTGTTTTCCCCTCTACTACTTGACTGTGGTAACTCAAGATTCTTCCTACATTTAAATGACGGTGAGTTTAGTGAGTACATGACTCTGAATTTCTGTAGGTATCAGTTGTAGACTGTGCAAGAAGATCAACAGCGCAAACGGTCCTTGATAGTAAAGCCAAAACAGGATCAAGGATGTGGCATAAAAAATTACAGATCTGTACTTGATTTGACTGTATTACTCGCAGCAAGCAAGAAAGCAGTCACAAGAAACTGGCTCAATGTGAACACTCCAAACCAGGAGCAGTTGTTGGAAATTGTCCAGGAAATATTTACTATGGGAAAATTGACATACCTGTTGAGACTCAAAGAGAACGTATTTGAAAAAAAAACTGGGAAAAATCGAAAAACTTTATGAGCCATGACACCAACTGAACAAATGCTGTATCGAACAGTGAACTGAACAATCGTAACTCCAGACAGTTTGTTAGTGTTATTATTGTTACTTGTACCTTGTTTGCTGTATTGTTTTTGCCTATACATGTGAAAACTCAATTAAAAACGCCTATGTCTATAAAGCATTATAAATATAGGTATAATGCATTATAATCACATTATAGCATTGTATAACTATAGCTATACACACTCATAAATGATCATAATGCTTTATAGCAATAATTATAACACATTATAAAGCATTTTATCATGACTTACAAAGTCAGTTTTATGCTTATTGTTATAAAGCCTTATGATAAATAATGAGTGTTTATAGTGATAGTTATACAAGTTTATAAGCAAATTATAACACATCATAATTACATGTACAATGCATTATCAATGTAGGCATTGTCAGTGAGTTGTTAACAGTTATAACACATTATAATACCCAACCTTATAAGTCATGATAAATTGCTATAAAGCGTTATGATCATTTGAGTGTTTATAACTATAGTTATACAGTGCTATAACGTGATTATTATGCATTATACATATATGTATGATGCTTTATAGACATAGGCGTCAAGTAAATTGCTACCAAATGTTTTTTTTTTAATACAATAAGACTTTAAAATAACTGAAATCCCTTCTGCAACATATATAGTCATGCTGTGTTTTTCACTAAACATCCACAAGATGTGTTAAATGGTTTCTATTTCTAAAGAGAGACATTTAAAGTGGCTTTACAGATGATACTGCCTTGATGGTAAGTGTCATTACTGAGGAAATTCCTGCAGAGCAACATCCATAATGTTTGGATTGACTGAAATGTCCTACAGTCTGCATATTTTGTGAAGAGAGCCAATAATTACCATGTTAAACCGTAATATAAAAATGACTAGATACTAGCAGCATTATGAATGGCCCTGCTTTGATTAAAGGTCATCTCTCCTTTGTGTCTGTGATAGAGTCTGCTCTCTGCACCAGCTGGGGTTCCTGACACCATCATAGCACAGTTTATTCCCCTGCTCTGGAGGACAATCATCTTTCAACCCTGTGGTGCTCCTTGTAGTCGGGGCACAGAGGATAAATCACTGCAGCTCAGCCCACAGACATGGGAAAGCTGTTAACAAGTTCAAGAGGGGCCCTAGGTGCTGTCCTGAGAGAGGGTCAAAGGTCAAAGCTGCACGGCTAGGTTAGTAGGCCAACTCCTGACCACACACACACTGACATTTACTTGTGCAAGAGCCAACTTTGTGTAGCACACAATCAAAGTGCTGCCTGGAGGTAATGTACTATCTCATCAGCGGGAGTTAGTTGGTGATTAATTATGAAACACACCCACATTAGCACTAGTCATGATTATTCTTCTGTGAGACACTCTGGGATGCATGTTCGTTTGGAAAATGCTCTAAAATATAGTTGAAAAGTACAAATATGTGCAGAAAAGTCAGAGGCCAATCACACAGAGATTTAAAGTAGTGGATTTTTTAGTTGAAATGTATTTAATTTCATATATTTGTAGTGTTTACCTCTTGGATAGGGCATAGTAAAGCAGCCCACGAGTTTCGCTTTGTGTCCAACTTTGGTGAACTCCGCTACACTTTTTCACCGTTCACGAACAGAAAGAGATCTTGACAGTGTTGATTACTTTTTAGAAGAGATAAATGGGCGAACAACTGTAGCTCATTAGCTCTGTTGCACCATCCATTTTTCTTCAACCCTCTCCCTGTCTAAGAAAAAAAAAAAAGCTTGGTTAAAGACAAATGACTTGAACATGGTGATGAGACAGGATTTGATAGTACAAACAGTTCTTTTGGTTAGTCTGTGTGAACTTGTCCTGTTGTTGGATTAATTATGGAGCTTGGTAACTAGCTGAAGTAGCTGACAGACCCTCCTCTTCCTGAAACTGTGGACAGCCGTAACGGTCAAAGTCGAGAATAGGGAGGAGAGGGTTAAAAAAAAGCAGAACAGAGTATCACTAATTCAAGCTCCATGTGAAACAAACAAACAAAAAAAAGTGGAGGACATCATTTGACATGGTTCTGGTTGATCATCTTTTATGTCTGACTACATTGTATAATAACTAAGCATGTTTGAAGAAAAAAAAAACAAAGTTAGCCAAACCAACAAAAACCAGCAGCGAAAACATTCAAAACTGACCTCAAAATGAAAATAATATATCCAAAGATGGAAATTAAAATGAAAGTTCAAAACAGGTCTTAACATAAGTACCCCTGATAGCCTTGTTCTTGTCTCCAAACATTGAAAAACCAAATATCTCAAAGAATTAAAAGAAACGCTGATGAATTTTGAAGTGTCTTTCTGTGGTGGCCTTCAAAAAGAGATTGAGTTTAATTTTGAGCTCTTGTACATCCTCAAGTTAGAAATACTTTTTCCTTTTTTTTAGCCTGTTCAAGTTCTTCAAAACCTTCAATATTTTCACTCCATGAAAAACAGCAAAACGAGAGAGAAGCTCCAACAACTTTTTGACTTGATTCTTTTATGATGGACATTACATTGACCACAGCCAATCTGACTGAAGGCTCAATCAAGATGAAAATTCTGTTTCAGTACATCAATGAGAAGAGAATCGGGATTCCAATCGAGATTCAGAGAAACACTTCATAGACCCAGTCCTTTCTTCCTGGTTGGGGTAAAACCATTCTTACTGATCATGCCTATCTTGTGGGATGTTATAGCTTGAGTTGGGCAGTATCTATATTTTAATACCAATTAACCTTCTTTAGGGCTTTGGGGCAATGACTAATTTACTGACTTAAAAAAAATGGCATGCTATCTCATTATGTTGCAACAACAACAAACAAAACCTACCAGGTCACTGCTTTAGTATATGATATCTTTACATATCATTCAATGATATCGATTTATCGCCTTAGACTGGACTTTTAAAAATCATGTAAACACACAAGTCTGTCTGAAATCCTACTAAATTGAACTTCTCATAGTTAGACAAACATACAGAGAAAATGAGGATGGGGATTGATTTTATCTTCCACATATTTGGCACTTTCAGTCTGAAACCAGCCGCAGCATTCTGCATATGCTCCAGTTTTTGCACGCCAGGCTTTGAGCTGGAAGTTGAATTACACTAATGGGTAGTAAACAAAACCTTGACGAGACAAAGCAGGGATATAAAAATGTCTAATTTTACCCACCGCACAAAAGGTAAAAAGGTAAAAGTGACGGTCTTTTTGTTTAATGTACATCCCATCACCCTCTTGCTAACAGGTTTTGCCAATTATTTTTAAAAATAAGTCAATCAAGAGATGACAAAGTGGGCATGTCACCACAGTGCCCAGTGCTTGTAAACTGGGTCACTGATCCAGATGAATTGCCTAATTGAACTATGAATCGCCTAACTGAACTATGACCGCAACTTGACCTAACTGTACATGCAAACGCACTGACTGGGTCTTGTGTATTCACACCCATTATGACTGGTTGAATATGAGCCGTTGTGGACCGAGTTGTTTCTGATGGTCCTGCTCAGGTCTCTGCATCTGTGAGGGAGGCTGAAACATTCAAACTTGTCAGACTCAAGGCCAACTGAGACCCCGGGTAGAAGGTCAAGAAAGAAAGGACCTTATGTAAACGTGTGCACGGTTTTCAAATCTGATTACACGGATTGTAATCTGTGCAAAAACTCCTCACTGTTGCTTGAGTTGCTCTCAAAATGGGTAAAATTTGATGTAGACGGTCCCCATTTGTGGGACATGTAGATAAACACTCATTCATGGTTTAGACATTTGTCAAATGTATTGGACAGCAGTTTTTAATTCGCTCTTTTTCTCATGGCTGAAAACCTCATAGCCTTCTAAGCAATACGGCAGGCAAAACTAGTCCAGGCAGAAACACCCCCTTTTTTCATAGATACTTTTAAATAACTTGACATTTGACTAGCAGAAAAACTTTTAACATGATGTATTTTATATAATTGATGCATGTTAACATCAGACTGGCATCTTTGAAGTGATATTGAAATCACCTGTCAGAGGCAAGTTAAAGATAGTTACACAGCAGTCCAGTTTCTATCTATGATTAACTCCAGTGACTTTAAAAATGTCTAAAAATGAAATAACTTTTATCTGGTAACTACGTCTTGTCTCTCTCTTGCCTGTCAAGAATACTTGGAAAAATGACAAGCGCATTAATATTCTTTACTTGTTTACACAGAAGAAAAGTGCCGAGCGATGTAATAAAAAGTGAGTGGAGAGGGAGTTTAATTGTTTTGAGTGGAACAGAATTAGGTTGGTGCATGATGAGTGAGCACTCGCCCGTGCTTTAGTTTAGTCAGTGTTTTATTTCTTTGTTTGCAGAAGCACTTTGTGATGCCTCATTCAGATTTGTTCAATTACTGTAAAACGATAAACAGTGACAATAAAGCACAAAAGCAATATTATGGCTTTGTTTTAAGATATTGAAAACTGCAGATTAGTGCCTCCAGTCCCATTGGACTGTTAGATTCTGCCTTTAGACAATGGCTTAAAAGCTCTCACAGATAACAGCACATTTGCTCAGATATTCTAGTGTAGGCAATTATTAAGACTGTACGCTCTTCATTTGTAGTCTGAACAGTTTCCGCCACTCTGCAGTTACAGTCCAAACACCACTCGGTCAGTCGTAAATAAAGCAAAGAGAAAGCCTTGCAAACTTTCTCAGCTAAAGAACTTATTTCAATCAAAGGACTTTAATGAAAACGTTTGAAAACTAATTCCCAGACATGCATCTTCTCTCTTGTCTAATACCCGGATTAACATTTTTTGGACACAGCCATTTTTCCCCCTTATCGGCATAGGACAGTAGGAGATAATTATATGCAATAGCACTCAATTTTCCTAACAAAGTACTCCTTCAGCTACTTCAATCAGAATCAGTTATATTGATGGATAAACAATTTCCCTGCTTAGAAAATAGGAAGAGTGTTGTGGGTGTCACGGCAGGTGGAAACATAATTCATTGAAAATTGTCACTGAAAACGCAGTGGTATGTTTTAATCTCAATTTCAAACCCATCTGTAAGGGGATTTGAGACATCTGTGAAGACTTCAGGAACATATTTGTCATATAAACAAATCTGTCTCTTTTCAGATTCATCCAGAGGATACTGTAAGCAAAAAATGACAACATTAGCCCCAGGAAACCCAACTTAACAACCCATTTAAGTAAAAAAAACATGCTCAGAGAATTTAATGAATTGTAATCCATCCAAGCATATCTGCTCTTTCTCAACTCCTACTTAATCTTTGACCTTTGACCTGCGGCCCCCCTTGACACTTCTCAGGATCCTCCACTAAATCTTGTAATTCTAGCCACATGTTGGATCGCACTAATACATTCAGACTTCAGCATGGGACTTTTTGATTAGTAGTGACCTCATTAATTCATGATCAATTTGTTATCTCGCAGTGTGTCTGGACCTGTCAAGCCAACTCAACATCACCTTTACCTACAAATAATTACAAGGATGTCAATGCAAAGAGACACTTTACCTGAAAACTGGTCGAAAACAGGTTCTTACAACCTGAACCTTGGCTTGTCGATGATAAGCAGCATACTGATAAATAATGACAGGTAATCTAAGACTCATATTGATTATAAATGTCTTATTCAGAAAAATAAAAACAAGTGGATATCATGGTTGGTCCAAACAAACTAGGGGAAATATAGAGGAGATTATTCCAGCATTACTTTAATTGGTTTTCTTAGCTTTCACACATCAACATGCAGGTCTGGATGTGGTTATAGGCTTGTTTAAACACAACATCACAACAAATCAAATCTATACTGCGAGCTGATAGAATATTAAACATCCTATTTACAGTAGAGAACATGGAAATATATGATGAGGACCTCTTGATCCTACATCAGTTTGACTCGTCTTGCTTTGATGGGTGCTCTGAAGTACATGTATCATAAATAAATAAGTCAACATCATAACAGGGTGCTTATACGCTTACGGTTAGGGCCCCATTTCAAAGAGATTCAAGTATTCCCGGGTGTACTACAACAAGCCTTTTTCATCGAATAACACATTTTCTTAACAATAGAAAATAAAAGGTCCAATTCATCAAATAATGCAAGATAGGTGTGGCCCAGTTATTGTTACTCTGAATAATAAAAACAGAAAGAAAAAGAAAGAAAGAAAGAAAGAAAGAAAGAAAGAAAGAAAGAAAGAAAGAAAGAAAGAAATGACAACAGTCTAAACCAAACCACATCAAAAAACAGTTTTCTACAGAACTCCTTGGTGACAAAAGTTTGGTAATAATCTTGTTTTTAAATTACAAATTTGTACACAAGGCTGGTAGAAACCAACAACCAACATCTGACATATTGTTAATAGAAAATGAAATTTGAAAGGGTTTTGCTGGCAAGAAAAAAATTGTCGAGTCATTTGAAAGCACGTCTGCCTCCTCGCTGGGTGAAGCCCCCCTGAGAACAGCACCCTCTGGTGACGGGCTGCAGTAGAGGTCATAAATCCCACCTCCTCCAGCAATCCCTATGGAGCCGTTGACTAACTTTAGAAATTTATTACACAGAATATGTTTGTTTCTCCCCCCGGTTGCGATGTTGACATGTAGTTACTGTAAGACTGGTTTGTGCTCAAGTCCTCTTTTGTCTGTGCAGCTCCATTTTTAAAAGTTATCAGGGGGGTTCATGTTTTCTATGATTGATATGGGCGTATGAAGATTGCATAGCTCACCCTGGGTTTACGCTGTTTGAGCTGAGTGTCATCACAGCGACTCTTGGGGACTCTCCCACAGAATGTGTACAACGCTACTGCACAAGTGGCGGTTCCAGGAAGGAGAGAAAATCCCGGAAATACCGAGAACAATTTGGTTTCAGATTCGTATAATGACAGAAGGCAGAACCAAGTTGTCAATAAAACAGTCTATGGCCAGCACGTTTATAATTTGGAACATAAGTATGGAGTGAGTAATGGAATCTAAGTATTTGCCACAGTGTTAACAGGCAGGTGGGACATTTGCTGGACTCTGCACACAGATGAGCTTGGCATGATGTGTGTGATGAGGTCAACTCTGGCATAGTATTTACTGTTGAGAATTAACCACTGCAGGGTTGACCGTACATAATTCTATATATTCTAGTTCATACATGGTGGGGCTTGTGAATCTGCCCTCCATCTATATGTATTGTTATGTTGCTGTTGGTGATTTATTGAGCAGTGGTGTGGAAAAAGCAAAGCCAACATTTCACAAATCAGACATATAGATGGAGCAGCATGAAGTATTCCTGCTGCATTTAAACAAAGTCTAGTCCTTTCCTGTCGGTTTGGAGAAGATGTGGGCCTGTTTGTTTTACAAAGAAAAATGCCCATAAAACAATAAAAAACAGCATTATTTTCCTGTTTTTCCACCTTGTTTTCATAAGCAGTGCTCGCTCTATTTTAAGTGTGACAGTTTTGGGTCAAAAATCTGACTGATGATCTGTAGATTTTGTAAACACTTGTCACATTCAAACCGTCAGACAGTTGACACAACTGCATTTGTGTCGCGGTAGAGAACATGGTATCAAAATGCAAACGGTTTTTTGACAACTCTGCAGCATAGACGATGAGTTTGGTGAACGACTGCAGCAGGTATGGTTTTAATGAGCTGGGGACTCTCAGCTTTTAAGCAGGGTAAGGATGGAGGCATTTATCTCCCTACTGCTGGCAGGATGTATAGAAAAATGGCAGAAAAACTGATACTGAAAACTGAAAATGCCCTCCAACAGATGGAGACCCACATAGGTTGTTGTTATTGGACTCAGAGAGCTACCATCTGTTCATCTGGCATTTTTGTTGTCAGTCACAGCGAGAAAAATGTAAAGATTTGGTATATATAAAATCATGAAGAAATGCAGAAACCAAATGGCTTTTCAATCTGGTTTTCAGTCTGCACTGCAGTGAGAATCTCATGACATCTCTGTTATACGATCTGCTACTGACTTTGAGCGGCATTTAGCTTGAACAGCTCACTCCGAGCTCCCTTGACTTTCCTTACAACAAAGAAGCACGAATACCGACTATGTTTTTAAAAAGCCTCTTCCTCTGAAAATCCCAGGGGTTCATGCGGTCACGGGGTTTCTGAGATGCTGGAGGCATTTCAGGCACCTGTCAACATACCGAATCACTTACAGTAGATCAGGTCCTGCACATTTTAACATTTACCTGAGTAGTAAATGAACCGACCAAACCTGTCTGCATGCTTCATTCTGATGATTTATTTATGAGGGACCGACTGGCTGGAGTTATGAGCTGTTTGTGTTGAGAAGGAGGCTAAAAACAAATGGTAGCTTACAGCAACCTTCATCAATTCAAGTCATTTTCTTGGCTTGAAGTCATTTTCATTGCTTGAGACATTAAATTACCACCATTCAAAGCTCAGTAAACACAAACCTTTTGGATTGCCCATCATTATGCGTTTACCATCGTATGTCCTGTCCTTGGATATGCTTATTTTCTGAAATGTATAAATGATGTATTGAATTTGCTGTGAGACTGAATGTGAATATAAAAATATGATCTAACTCTAATCAAGTACAACCCTTGGCAGAGACAGATACAGACACCATCTTTATTCAGAGGGGGTCTCAAATTATTCAACAGTTTTCACAGAATACTAAATAGAGAGTGAGGCATCTGTGAGCACGGCACATAAAAGTGACACCTCGTCCGACCAAGTCATGCAAGTTTCATTAATCAGCTCTCCATAAAAGACACCTTCATTTCTCATTGCTTTGTGAAGTTCTTACACTGACAAATTTAGGTAGTTTTTGAAAAGTGAACGAACACAAACAAGATGAAAAGAAAGACCACTTTCTTATTGCGCAGTGTTGTCGGTCGTTTTTATGACTTGAGCGAGCGTTCTCTAAAATTAACTACAAAACAGGCATCCAGCAAGTTGGCAGGCACAAAATCAGTCCCCAAGTCTCTCGGTCTGTAAACCGCAGAACCGAGTTAAGAAAATTCACAACAGATTGTTAAGACATTCGACACATCTGAAAATCCGTGTAGCAACACAACCGTGACCGGAAAATTTGGAAGGCAGAAACAGTCAGCTGAAGCCCCTTCAGTCCAAGAACACATGCAGACTTGGTATGGCAGAGCTATTAACATAAACATTGATAATGACTTCTCGCTGAGAAACAGGGGCCCACAACATGTTTTCCACAATAGCTACACCATCCAATTATCCACAGATGTTAACTTCACAGAATGCTGGTTCACCACATCTGTTTGTTGGTGGGAGATCTCATTAGAACAAGCATGTTTTAAACCCCAACATCAAGCCCTGCTTGGCACATTTTATTGCAGCATGTTGAGCATTTACAACAAACATTCCTGACTGCTGTAAAAGTTTGCATGTTAGACTTGATGACTCCTAACAGTCAGTAAAAATCTCCTCGTCGTTGCTGATTGCAGCCGACAGTTCTCATGTCGACCTTTCCTCCACGTTAAATCAGTCAGATTCAATTTGAAGTTCGTTTTCCTGAATGTTGTTTTTGCGGTTATTAAAATTGAACGTCTTTGTGGGCAGATATGAGACTGGAATCCATCACTGGGCTCTCAATAAAACCAGGGCTGTGTTGTGTAATTATTTTCTTCCATTGCTATTTTTTTTTTATTCTACAAAAAAATAAATAAAAGTCCCAAAGCTGACACCTTGCTTGGTCTTGCAAGATATTTAGTTTACAAGAATATAAAAGGAAGGCAAAACAAAAAACAATCCTTATAAATGGGTGAGTTAGAGTCAGAGAAAGTTTAAAGGTGTTATCTGATTAATGATTTAAACAAATCTGCCACCAAAAGTGCTGCTGTTTGATTTTGATAAACACACACAACAAAAAGTCAAGAAAAACAGATCAATTTTTTTTAACACCATCCAAATTGATTCCTAAATGATATCCAGGAAAACTCACAAGCAGTTTTCACCATGTAGAGAACCCCACTGGAAAATTCTCTGCGTCTTTCCACAGATTTAGTCCCTGAAACGGATGGATGTGTTTCATGTCCCCTGAGGAGAACGTTCAGCACCATGCTATCTTTGAAAACATACCTCTCACCCAAATTACAGAAATTGCAAAGTAGACATTTCCGCCCGTCAAGGACACAGTGGGAGCATGTGTGTGAAACCTCTTTTATTTCATCTCATCATCAGGACATGTGATATCAAGCAGAGATCCCATGCTGATAATATAATTGTCTCCTTGTATAGCAGAACAAAAAGCACGACACTGTGCTCCTTGTGAGGAACACGAGGAGGTTGTAGAGTAGAAAAACCATGTCCATGTTCATTAAACCTTGAGCAAGTAATTGTTAGTGCGTACAACAACATTAAAAACTAAGGTAGCAGCGAGACAAAAGTTTTCTACCCGAAAACATTTCAAACACCTTTCATGTACGTGCAAATTCAAAAATGCCTGAACTATTCACACTCCACACACTAAAAACAGCTTAGCAGAGATGCCACGCTGTAACTTCCACCCCATTTTGAGTCAAAGCTGACGCCCCCTCTGCTTCCCGGCATAAATCACTGTTGAGTTGTTGGATTTGTAGTGATTCTACATACACTGTTTGCAAACGCTGCCCTCTGTGAGGAACTCGCAGGCAGGGAAGCAGCAAAAAACATGACCTTTAAAAGCTGCTTTGTTGAGCAATCCATTCCTGCACACACTGCAGTACCCGGCCTCTGTGTCCCCTGTAGAATTAGGTTGATTGAGCATGGCCGAAATTGGATCAACCATATCTTGCATGCCGGAGCACAGAGCCTGTTAAATCGCCTGGAATGAAAGGTGGCCAAATACTTGGCTTTTTAGTCTGCGGGACGCTTTCCAATTTATAGCCTGGACGAGTTAAAGACCGGCATGTCTCTGTGAGTGACTGCTGTCATACTGCAGAGCTCATTTCTGACTCAGACCATGTGAAAGACATGCTTCAGTGTGCTAATTTTTTCCATACCCAGATACCTAGACTCTTTTATTGGTCAAGACCAAATACTCGGGCTGCACGATTCATCAATTTTAAATTGTAATCGGATTAATCAATTATGATGATGTAAAAAAAAAATACATATATGCAAATTAATATTCCTTTCTATCGTGCCTTGCGACTCCAGGCTACCGTAGACTCCCTCTTCCTGCGAGTGCCCTCCCTAGTTCCCAACCACACCAGTGTAAACAAACATGGCGATTGTGAAAGAAGGTGATAATTTCGTAACTAAAAAAAGGCAAGCGCTAGTCAGTCGTGTGGAATTTGTACAGCTTCGCAGTTTCAGATGAATAGCAAACCACTCCGCTCTGCAAAGTCTCTCTGAGGGTGGTATCAAACTATCCACACAGAAACAAATTCAGGAGAAAGGGCAAAAGTTTTTTGTCGTATTCACATGCAAATGGCGTTTCAGCCCATACGAGTCTGGCAAGCTTTATACGCAAGCTCCCTACTCTTCTTCTGTCTTTGGTGCATGTCCTGGCCAGCGTTACAGCGCCACTTACTGGCTTGGCATATGCACTACACCGTTTTAAAGCGATATTCCAGCGTAAAATTAATTTAGGGTCAAACACACCGCAACACAGAGTTAGACACAACCTCCAGGGATGAATGTTGCCGACCGCTTGCTTTTCTAGTTATATCAACTTTAGTAATGACCACATTATAGCAATACACAGCAGTCTAAGGAAAACAAAAAGCCACTTTATAGCCACAAATAATGCTCAGAACAGCACCTAACTTCATTAACAGTACATATGGGGTCCTAGCCATAGCACTAGCCATCAAACATCTTTTTAACTTTGCCTAATTTCTTCAGCAAAGAGACTAAACACAACTCACCTACTCTCTTTCAGCAGTCGCTTGTTTGTCGCGAGACCTCAGGCGATTCCATTACGGATTGCTGCGGAGTGCCGCAGCTCAAGGAAGAACATTTATGATTATTTCTTCATGGAAATGCAATCAGACCGAGACACTAAGGCAGAAGAACTACTGCGTCTGCAGTGCAAAATGATTAATATGGTGATTATTACTTTTTCAGTGGGTTCAAATGCTCCTGGATAGAGGAAGTCTTGGGACACAATGCTGTAGCATCAGCCGCTACCATTTTGCAATATCCTATTGCTGTATATTATTCTTTATTTTATCACAAATGTCCATGAATGGTTGTCTCTCTAATTCCAATGCAACATTCAAGGAAGGGGTATAGGCGAAAACTGGCACTGGATTTGATCTAAAATACTGGGTATCAGGACTACAACAGTGATCTTTGATTGTGGGTCAGCCTTGAGTCTCCAACATGCAGTTGGTGTGACTTTAATTATGCAAAAAAAAAAAAAAAAAACCACCCTGTAAATTGAAATAATCCACAGAATTATTCATGAGAATAACCGCAGTTTGTGAACTTTGGGTCGCTTCCACAAATAAATTCCCCCAAACCAGCAAAATTGGGTAAATTCTCCGTTTATTTATGAGAGGAAGGAATTACTCATCTCATTAGCACTGAGCATCCAATGAGCTGATGGAGAGCAATGGTGCAACCAAAGCGCTCAGCCTCAACACCCTCAAGAGTCACATTACATGAAAAAGAGCCAAATTTACAATCTCACTCGGTGCAGCACTAACAACTGTCTGCACCAATAAAAAAAAGGCCGTTTCCCCCCTAAATGTAACCGCTCTCGAAGCTATTAGTATCAATCACGTCTCAGCGGAAAAGGCCATTCGAGGGAAAATGAGGCTCAAATCAGCCCTCCAAAATAAAATTGATGTGAAGTATTGAGATTTATTGCTGCTCTCCAACACCACCCCTACAATCCACACAGAGATACACACGAGACCACACACCTCCCTAATTTCGATGTTGCTTCTTCTCGTTCCTCTTCCTTCTCTCCTTTCCAAAGTATGCCCCTGATTTGGGTGCGAGTCCCGGGTTGGGCAGACAGTTGCACAGCTGGGGGCTAATGCAGAGAGGGATGGCTGATGATCCAAGCTGCAGATGGAGAGGTGCCATGGGAGATTAATCCTCAGCGCAGTCAGAGGGCTCCTGAGAATTTAATTACGCCAAAAAAAAAAGGGGGAAAAAAGGCTGTTACTCAAATCATTTACAAGCAACAACAGAGCGATGTTTTCTTTTAATACAGCCTAGGGACCAACATTTCCTAACTGTGGAGTCAGACCTGCCCTCACTGTGAAGGTTGACCGGCGAGGAGTTAGGGTGTAAAGGTGGCAGACTGTATTATTGGCGGAAAAGGATGCGAGGAAGGTCTTGGGCGTGTGTTACGACTGCCTCTGCTTTTCCCTTTACAGGTTCACAGACAGTGTTACTACTCCCTCCAAAAAATAAAAGTGTCTGGATACTTCAAAACAGTTTGCAGCTTGTTGGACATAGAAACAGAAAAAGAGTGTAACATGATATCCTCGAGAAGACCACAGATAATTTTGAAAGAGAATATTTAAGTTGACCATGTTTGATCGTGCTTTATTTGGTGTGTCTGTTGTATCAGGAGGGAAAGACTTAGCCCTCAGGCAAGTTTGCAGACTTCTATTTTAGTTTGGGATAAACAACACCAGATTTAACATCCTACAGGAAAAAAAAGAGACACTTTTTGACTTTGATTTCTATCCGGTGTGTCACCTGAAATAAAGCAAAGAAAGAGTATAAGATTACTTTTGTTAAGGAAAAAACCGGCAAATATACTGCAGTGATGCTCAGCAAACGGCAGACATCTGTATGTAATGGTGCATAAGATGATTTGCAAAACTTCACATTACCACTGTTATGCCAGTTGCTAATCATATTCACTCTAATTGTTTCCACTATATGGTGTCTGATTACATTTCATTAAAATTCGATACGAAATCATTTAAATTGGGAAACACAATATGCGGCATATCTCATCTCTGTTGTCTTGGAACAGTTTATGAACGCGAATTGTATCTTCATCGGGGACAAACTGCTTAAAAAAGTGCTATTTTTACTCCTGCGATTTGTAATAATGGAAAGAGGTTATCAAGTATAAATGAGCTCTTTTGTTTCCCGCTGAAACGTCATACAAACTGCCGCGCGCAGAAATGATCTTAGCATGCCTCCTGTCTTTGTGAAGCTATCTGAACCCATTAAGTAGTATTTATTTGGTCAATTACCTTTAACAATTATCTTCATTGTCTTAATAAACCATCACAATTTAGTCAATATGTATCGGAGATATTCCTCATTGTTCACGATGAGGGTTGACTGCTGAAAAGCCTTCTGCATGATTTATTTCAAAGGGCAATCATGGTGATAATGGTGTAATGAACTGAAGACAAATAGACAAATAATGAGACAAAGAAATCAATAAATAAGAAATGGGCATGAAATGAGCACTCACACATAAAATTAAGCTCTCTCTCACTCACACACACACACACGGATACACAGGGGAAGGAAAATCAGGACTTTGGAGTTTAAGCTGGCTGACTGCCCTGTCCTTATTCAGCTGTGAGACATGCAGGCTGCCAGAAAGACACAGAAAGAAGCTGTTTTGTGTGCCTGACTCACGCAATTACACATCTCCGCCTAATGGGGGCCTCCATTATTCAACATGAAAAGGAGGGTGAGACACAAGGGCCAGTGTTGGCTTTTCAGATGCCATGCGAAGAAGTAATCTTCACCGTCATCCTCTCTCACAAAGGAGATGTCTGGTGAGTTCAGTCACGGTTTTATTGGAAAATCTTGCACAACACCTTTGTGCTTTGAATCTCGAAAAAATAAACCAACATGGCTGATTTGTTGTGAGATCCCACAGCGTTCCATGAGGATGTGTAATGTTTCTTAAAGACAGAGGGGAGGTTAAAATGGCAGAGGAAAGAAAACAACTTTTCTTTTAACTCTCAGGCTCCTGTGGCTTGATTTCAGCACATTAAAAACATAATCATACAGTGACAGGAAGTGTAAAAACATTGGCTATTTTTAGTGTTGTTTATTTGATGTAATTGAGCAAACTTCACCAGGGTTTACAGCTACTTATCAAATTCTGATGAAGTTCAGCTCAGCTTGTTATTGAGTCGCAGTGAGCGCCGAGAAAACCTGAACAAACTGAAAACTTTTTATGGCCACAAAACAACTTGGGTCCTCCATTTATTGATGTCCATCTAACTTCATGCTTGATGTTCACTGCTGTTGTTATGACTGTGTTTGTTGTGCTTCTATCTTTAGTTGGTTTGATTCTTGAACAGCTATAGCTTGGATCCATGTGATAGTTCACTGAGGCCATGCTTGGCTGTCCTTAAGCTACCCCCCATAGATTTCAGATCGATGCAACTTATCTCTTCTTTTGAACCAATTGGGAAAAGTAAATCACTCCCAAAATAACCCACACATGATGCTGAACACATGAGCTTGAGTCCACCACTATTTTTTGTCTTTTTTTGTCCCAGTTACTCACAACAATCGCTGCTAATTCCTGGCTTTGCCAAAGCTTCAAAAGACCGAGCTCTGAACAGAGTACTTTATACAATTTTAGGCTCAGATGTGTTAGATGCTGCGTTCCAGTTACTTCGAAAGTTGGATGTTGGAGCTAGGAATGACATTACACCGGAGTTGACGGCACTCCAGTAAACAAGTTGGAAAACCAAGATGGACACCTCCTGTTAGCTATTGTTAGCTGTTGTCAGCTGTTGTTCGCTATACCAGTTGTAAACAACGAACAACACCATATTTTACCCTTACAAACACCATGGCACCGTGTTCACAGTTAGACATTAGGCAGCACAACATAAACCGCTTATTTATTTTCACAAAAACAAAACAGAAGTGCTAATAAATAATATGTTACGAGAGCTTTCACTATTTACTCTATACTGTTGTTGCACTGCGCTGCCATCTTGGATTATGACGTTGTCGCCAAGTCGGGGTTGGTGAGGATCGTCCGACTTTCCGAGTCTGAAATCTGACTAGAGGGGGGCGTTCCAGATAAAATTTTGGATTTCAGAGCTCGGAAATCCCGACTTCGGAGTACAACTGGAACATGTTTCATTTTCATGTGAGAACTCTTTGCATTTACACTGATATAAATCAGTCAATGCAAGACAAAAAAAAAACTGTTGGAAATTTCACCCCATATTGCTCACGCTGAGGTGGTGGTGAATAATTTGAAAGGTTGAGATGATAATGGAGGAGAGGACTCCGAGTGGCACAGGTGAGGATCCAGAATATAAATTGGCTGAGGCGATAGCATTGGGGCAAACTGATTGGCTGGACAGATAAGGTGAAGAAGCGCCTGAATGAGAAATCTGTGCCGATCAGACTGACTGAGGTGGTGGTGTGCTTTATGGCAGTGGATATGCAGCTAGCTCTGGTTTCACTCTCCATAAAGAAAATCAAACAACCACAGATGGGTCCTCGTTGGTGCTGGTACTCTTCTTGTATAAGATGGGAAAAAACGCAGGTGTTTCTTAAACATGCTGCTGGTTCAGGGTGCTTTCTGTTCGTGACTCTTGAACTTACCCTGATAGGAAAAGAAGACTGTTACTGACGTGTGCAGCAGTGACACTTCAGTCCACAAAAAGCTCTCTACTCAGGTGGGTGACAATGGCTAAACCACTTTTTCTCCAGGCGGCGTAACGGCAGTATTTCAGTTGTCCACAATGGTTGACTTTTTGGTAAACATTACTGCAGTATAAACAATAAAAGTCAATAGATGTAAAAGCCAGCCTGATGCCAGGGAGAAGTGTCAGGGCAGAACAACTCCAGTCTGTTGGCTGCAGCCTCGCTCTCTGTTAAGATGATGACAGACGATGACTAAGCAACCTTTCAGCTGTCTACTGTTTTTGGCTGACAGTGCTGCCACGTAAGAGAAGACGCCAGAGAGTGGCAGTGCCGCACAACTTCAGTCTGTTGGCTGCTACCTTGCTTTCTGAGATCATGACCTTTGATGCCGGCTTGAAGCGGACAGTGGTACAACCCTCGCCGTCCCCTCACAATGATTGACTATTTGGCTCACAGTGCTGTCAGCAGCCTAGAAAAAAATGCTCTCAGGTCTGGTGGGACTTTGTGATTCAATCAGGAATCACAAAGTCCTGTCTCGGAGCATGTTGTCAACCTAATATCCAACAATAACAGACGACGAAAAGCAGGTAGCAAAAAAAAAAAAAAAAGTGGTATTGATAAACATGAAAGAATGAAGCCTTTCAAAGCCACAGTTAAGAGGACAGAGATCATACTGTCATAGAATGAAGTAATACATTTTCAGCGCCACTATTTGTTTCTCTATTTCTCCTGTTGAAAAAACAATCATATTTTCTTAAGCAGAGCTGAACCTTGAACTCAAGAAAGGATGAAATCTGCTGTCACTTACCGATGGTATTCCTAACCGATAACAATAAAAAAAATAAATCATTGAATAGTTTCCATGTAAAAAGCCTTCAAGGTGAGGTATTGTGTCAAAGCATTAGTCAAGGCCAGCTTATTCTCCAACTAAAATGAATGAAGGAAACAAAGCATTCCCACGACCGGGCCAGGCAGAGTCACCCACCAATGGAAATGAATCACAGTGAGGAGTGACAAAAGAAACTATTCAGAAACATCCACTGCAGCGCTCACGATAAGTGGTAGTTCAGGGAAATATTTGATTAGTCGGGGATTGTGTAGTGTCACTAGGTTGTAATCCTTTACAAATGTACCAATCACCACATTTCTATAGGTATCTTTCACATCTGTATTCAAAAGGGAAAAATGACTTTGCCGTGGAATTCAAATAATTCCTCTCACCTCCGTTCAAAGCAGAGCGTGAACTCGTGCTCATCCAGAACATATACCGACTAATTCTTTGTAGGTGGACAGATAAAACCACTGGATCTTGTTTTTTTTTTCTTTCTTTTTATGCACAATGTATCCCTGTCCTGCCTCAGCAGGAAAATGGAAGCATTTGTGAAGTTTCATAACATCCAAAGAGATCAGTTTGAGCAGCTTGACTGTTGATTTAATGCAACGCTCTTTGTTTACCAAGAGGGTTTTGGGTGTGAATGCAGCTTTAGGTCAGAAGCAGAATAGTATAAATGTGTTGCTGGGAAGCCAGGTAGTAAACAAAACCCAGCAGGACATAATAAAACGTACCTATCAAATGAAAAAATGGTGCTGAGCTGTTAAAAGGTGGAGTAGGCAGGATCTGAGGAAGGGCCAGTTTTTGGGAGAAATCTTGTATGTAAACACTACCCCTCCAACAAGTTTTCCCCTCAGCTCCGCCTCTCCCCTCCCTCTGCTCCAGCAAGCCCCGCCCACAAACAGACGCTCGTCCTTGATCGTAACATTTCAATAAAATTCAGATATAATGCAGATAAATACTACAGATAATAACAAATGGGGCCCAGTCAACGTGAAGATAAAATGAATTGGTGCTACTGTAGATGCCAACAGACTACCAGCAAACACAATGTTTGTAGGACTTCTACAACTAGGATAAAGTGACATAGTCCAGGACCCGAGGTAAACAGTTTAGCAGCGCTACAACACACAGCAGATCCCGTTTGACAAGAAACACTGCTGTTACAGGCACTTAGCTTACTTTGTTAAAGCGGTTTACCTGTCCGGCAGAGAGGTTACAGGGTCCATAATATCCCGAAGCGTACCCCATCATTAATGCTGACGTTGACCCGGCTTTTGGGCCCTTGTCCGGTCTGCCTCCGTTTTAATCGCCCGTTATTCTGCCAGAATCTCTGGTTTTTACTTGTTTTTATTGCTTGCGTTTTCTGTACTTTCTGGTTGGTTTCTACTGTCTGATATTGTAGCACGCTAACTTCGTTTGGGCTCGCGCACGATATTGGAGGACGTGGGGCGTGCCTTACAACAAGAGAGAGCAGCGTCTGCCTTACAACCAATCAGGTTGGGGGAGGCGGAGAATGGCTTTGTTTACATTCAGAAAGAGTGCGCTAATTAACTAAACACAGTGATATTCTCATATTACCAAATTTCATCAATAACTATTAGCTATTGACTGACATTAAAAGCTTTTTTTGTATATATACCACAAAAAAAGATGCGTCTTTAACATAATCCTGCCTACGCCACCTTTAAAGTGATGGTGAGTTCAACGTTTGACGTACACCGTTAGCCTCTTGCTAACATGTTTCAACAATGTTTTAGTGAACAATTTAAAAGTAATGTTTGACCGCACAAGATTTTGCAAAGTTTCAAGTTTTGACAGTGGGGACTCATGTTGTTGGTGAATGGTTGGCTATTGTTGGCTAATCGTTGCTTTCCACGCACACTGCAGGTGCAAAACTGTCAAATCCATTGTTAATTGTTTTTGTGTAGGGTCCCTCACATTTTCAACATTTGTTATAAAAATCTCAATGTTGAAAGTTTGCGTAGTTTTGCTATTAAACTCTAAGACAACAGACTTTAATACTTCTTTAAATTATCCTGAGTAACCTCCTTGACATTTTCTCAGTGATTATTTCTTATCAGCTGGACTCACCAAATTGATTTCACTAGTTAAAGGTAACCCTCAAAAAATAAACCTCAAAGACAAGCTCTTTTCTCTACCCTTTTAGAAAAAACACTGGACAATTTTCTGTTTTTATGTCCCTATTGGGCTTTTGAAAAAGTCACATAAAAGGTACCAAAAAGAGCTCTTTGTAAAGGTCAGGGAAACAGCATGCTCTGTATTTCATTTAGTGCAGCGGAGCATTGATGCCATGGTAACAATAATAAAGATGATGTTGAAGTGCAATCAAGGTAAAGCAGAGTGAGGGATAACATGTTTTTGTGATTCTCTGTAGACTGATGAGCCATGTCCGTGTTAATATTGTGCTAAATTTGCATTGAATTAATTTCAAGAATTTTCTCTATCGTAATTAAATTCGGTCCTTCATTCATAGCGAATTCAATAGCCTTATGGGTATTTTAGTTTTGATTTCTGAGAGTTTTTCCCATGGGATCCAGAAAGGCTTAGTCCCTGAACATGGCTCATTCGAGGAGTCTTCACTACTTGGAAATTTCATTTACCGAAAAGGAAATTCTAAGTACAGGAAAATGGGTGAATACCACAAATTCATTTAAAGCGTTTCATGATCCACTTAAGCATGGACCTGTTCAGAGGAGTGGTTTTGCATGAGGCTCTCGGGTTGATGAGAGATTTTCTCTCCTTATGTGTACCACTGTTTTCACATTCTTTCATCACAGCGTGTGGATTCCAGCGGGCCCCTCTGCTTTGTTTTTCTTGGATAAAAACACAGGTTTGCTGTTTATCTGTACTATCAGCATCTGGCACTTATTACTGAGGGATGGGAGCACAAGCTTGGATTATTAGGATTACTGCTGGATTGGTGGAAGGACGGAATCGTAGCGAGGTTAATAATAGCAAACTCTCCTTTTACCCGTATAAAAACGGAGAGGCAGGCCTGCAGGCTGTGCCTACATTACAAACATCTCGTCTGAGCCTTCCCCCACTTTTGGAACAGACTATGGGAAAAAAAAAAAAAAAAAAAAAATCCCCCTCAGCAATCTCATCTGAAGCCGCTCTGCTACCAAAGGGAAGGCTAAAACATGCATTCAAAGGTACAAAAAAACAGACAACTACGTATCTATAGACGCATAAGGAAGCAGGTGCGTATTTCTTTCAACAAGCAGGAGGATAACACATCATTTACAGTGATTCAAAAACACCTTGCTGTTCGTTAAGCTCATTTACAGCCTCAACACCTCACAGTAACAGTCTTAACGTCTCCCTATCCTGTCAGCACGTTTTTCTGCTTTGTGTGTGTGTTTGTGTTTGGAGTGTGGACTGTATCTGCTATTCCTCCAGGCAGATATAAAAGGACCTCTAATCCAGAGCGACAGAGGAATAAACACAATCCCTAATCTCATTGATCCCTTGCAAAATCATTCAATTATACTCCACTGCTGACTATGGCACCGTGCACAGAGGGAGAGGCGGTTAAGGTAAAAAAAAAACGCCTTTCTCTCATTACCGAACAAGAGAGTCAAAACTCAATGAAACAAGATAATAAAAGAGTTAAAGTAGACGGGTAGGCGTCTCTATTCAAAAAGAGGCCTGCCATGCTGCTTTATGACCGTGAACACTGGCAGTCTGACAATGCCCTATATAACCAGCAGTGGTTTCACCGGGGAGGAATGTAGTTAACGTTATCAAAAGTCAGGACTCTGCTGGAGGGTCAGTTTTAAAGAAAAATAGGGTGAGGAGCGAGGAAGAAAGAAGGAAACAGACAGGGAGAGGAAGAAATATTGAGAGGGCTCCACAGATACGTGCACCGTTAAGTGACCCATTTTAACAGCCCTAAAGTCTGCTGCCTATTATCACCGGGATGTCTGTTTTTCTCCTGCAGCTTCAGCATGGAGGGCAGACCCCACTCTGATATCAGTGTGACAGCTACAGGGCTGCTGCCGCCCGCTCATTGATTCAGGGGTTGTGTTTTTATCCTGTTCATTAGAGCTTTCTAAGCGGTTGGAGCGCTTGTAGGTTCGTGACATTTCGGCTCGTCACATCAAAGGCTTTGGCAAAAGGGGGGCACGTGGAGCAGCTGGGAGTGTGAGGGCTGAGAGGTAAGGTGGAATTGGTAGCAAACAGGAAAATAAATGGATGGCTGTGATTTCCTCTGCACTGTTTGTTTCTTTTTTCTTTTACCCAACCCTAAAAAAGGTTCAATCTCACATCTTAGACTGGCATGACCTTTAAAAAACAGGTACAAGAACCTGTCCTGCCTCTGGACCTTGCAATCCCCTTCTCACCCTGTAAAGCAAATGTTAGCTCTAGAAGTTAGTTTGATCAGGCCAGCATTGAGTGTGTGGGGCGTGGAGCTAGTTTGATGTATGGCACCAGATGCCCGCTGCCAGATGTTGTACAGGCTGACATGCAGGTCTGGCACGCGGCTACTTTTCAGGGCTGGCTGTGAACTAATTAATCTACCCCCGCCCTGGTTTCACAGAAGGTCACAGGAAAAATGCGAGACTCTGAATATCTGGGTGTCTGAGTTTGAGCCTGTGCGATATGAGATGCATATTTTGACAAAAGCTTTTGTGTCTGAGAATGTGCCCATAACCAAGGACAGCTCGCTATTAACGTGAGATAGTACAAGCGTATGCCGAGTATCCTCTTTGTGGGAGTATATTATGGCCACAGAGCATGTCTTTCAGTGAGAGGATAAATTGAAACAAGATGTGCTGGCCCCTCGCTCCTTTGAAGGTGTTCCACATCATACCTCTGATTCTGCGGAGGGTAGGCGCACTACCATAAAAGGACACCTCTGTTTACCTTAACCTGCCAGCGCCTGCTTGCCAGATGTTGCAAAGTTTTCCTTTCATCTCCTTACACGAACCTTATTTTTATTTTTACAGCCAGTTTGTTACTCTACTTTTTGCCTGGATGAGAAAGAAGAAAAGTCAACTTTCTTCCAGCTGGAGGGTGGAGAGACTAAATTTGAACATTGTTTGATTTGACTTTGGAAAGCTTGCTGCTGAGATTGAAGGATTTGGGAGGAGAGGCACACAAGGTTCACCGGTCTCTCCTTCAGTCTGCCTGTGCTGATGAAGGAGTTGATACTGCAGAGACTAGAGGCCAGGACCTAAAAACATGGCCTCCATTAAGTCCTCAGATTTGGAAAACACATCTACACATGTCAGACTTTCTCTCAAAGTCCCTGTTATTTCAACAGAAGTGTTTCCTTTGGATTACTTACTAGCTGATTGCGATGACGGCTAATGGCTATTTAAAGTAATTTTCTTTCCATTTCGCACAAGGACACGTTACCAAAAGGAAGTGGGGGAATGAAGAGAAATATACAATATCAATGATCTACTTAACTGACCCTACAGTACATCAGGCATTGGTTTCAAATACTTTCCTGGGACTAAATCGTTCCCTAAACGATCTTTTAATGCAGCATGTTTTCAGTAAATGTTTTACACCGAGGCGTGCCTGTGAAATGTACTTTGGAACGACAGACCTAAAGGTTGATGTGCTACTTACGCTTACTTTTACAGCATTTCATAAAGTTGATGGCCTGTGTTATGATTCAAGACCTGGATTACTTCTCTTGATTCAGAATTTGAAAGGATTGGCTCTGAATTGGAGGTCCATGTGGTTTAAAGTAGTGTCTTTCTTTCTCAGGCTGTTGCAATCCCTACAAAACAAAACTCATCAAACAAAGTCATCCACCCTATCAAGTGTCGTCCCTCCTGCTGCCATGACAACACGATAATTAGTTGGTATATGACTGTGTCCTACATAGACTGTACCAATCAGTCAAACTTGCTTCTCGACTCTTGGCCAGGCCTTTGTTCAGAGTGAAACTTCTTTGGGAGACAGCCATCTGTGGCACCCAGTTAAAGTAATCTGTTTCAGATTTCTGCTTGTTGAAAAAAGTTTAACCTTTCTCAGGGTTTCTCCTAAATGGAATTGATCGTGGCGCACCGCCATGGTTAAATAAAAGCTGCCACACCCTGAAAAAAAAGGGGGTTTTCTTACATGGCGCTACTTCAGACTCAGTAGGCTGTGCATCAGTGTATACGGCACACGCAGGCACTGCAGCGCAGGGCGGGTATTAGCATTAGCGAGTTTTCGCTGAAACACTGTTGCTGCTGTTGCCATGGTGAACTGATGTCGCATCACTGTAAATGGTATTTCAAAGAGGACAATCAAAACCTGCTTTACAATTTCAAGTGCCTATTCTTCAAATTTGATTTTGAGTAATAATAAAAAATTTTTTGATTTATTGGTTCATAAAATGCAATATGGACAACACCAGAGAAAGTAGGCTTTTCTTTCATTTACACCTTAGCTTAAAAAAAAAAATCATAGAAAACCAGGAAATACTGTGATAAAAATGATGTCTGAGTATGACAATGACCCTCATCACTAGAAAACCTCTGTTTCTATTTTAAGATTAAGTTGTGGAAAAGTACTGCTTCATGAACAAATCTTATTCCATTGAATTAAAGGACAAAAATGAAGCACAGCAGCACTGGAATTTACCACTAATATCTCAAATGGGGGAAAAAAAAACATTAAGCTTATTGCCAACTAAGCATAAGGAGCTCTCCCACGCTTTCAGCTCTGGTAATGTGCATACCTTCAATCCATGTTCTGTATTAGACTCACATGCTCCTGTTGCTTTCTTGGAAGCAGCTGCATTAAGGGCCAGTTTTCTGTGATTACTGGCATTTTGGGCGCACAATTTTTTGGGACATTACACTAGGTGACTCTATTTTTCTTGGCTGCTTGTCAGTACTTTACTATCTTATCACTCGGAATAAAATCAGCACCATAATTCAACTATAATTAAAAAAAAACTTGGCCCAATTTTGAGCTGGCCAGTTTGTAACAATCACTGTATCGCTCCATCTTCCATCCTTGGTTGTGAGTGATTGCTGGCCTCAGTCATGAAAGAAACCACACTTTGAGACAAGTAGCGTGTCAACTGTTGGGAATGAATTTTCAAATTTCAGGTCCAGATCCCAAATACAGGATGATCTTATTTTTTCAGACTTAGAGCAGACATTAGAGCTGCACTATAAGCATACATCTTAAGTTTAATCAAATGCACGGTCTGACCCTGAACATTCTGCCAAAATTCCTTCTCTTGGTGGGTTGTTTAAATATGTCCATAAATTTTCCGCCTTTCTATTGTAATCAGGGAGAACACTTTTCATAGAAATGGTTTTAATGTAATTATTTGTAAAGAATTCTTAACCTTGAACCTTGAGTTGCTTTATTCCTGAGAGAATCACTGAAATGCTGTGGCTGTTAAGACCAGTAATTATGAGGCCCTTAGCCTGATAAAGGGAAAAAAATAGAAGTAGAAGGTCACTTATTCCCGCTGCTACACTACCTTCTCGTCTTCAAAAAATAGGAAAAACGCAGACTGAATGAAGCTCTGCATAAATAAAAGCCTGACAAAAGAACTTCATTAATTCAGCTCTTTAATAGTAAAAAATAGTAATAGTTGCCATATGTTTTACATTTAGATTGATGTATGATTGCCTGGTAGGTGGATGTACTACACAAACATAGAGGTTTTATATTTGTCCACCAAGGACAGGGTATTTTTCAAATATTCTGTATTTCGATTTCTTTCAACCAGACTTTAAAGTGTATTTATGGATGCTGGTCTTCATCAAGTCAAACTGAGTGCTGAGTCTGGTATTCAGTTTCCTGTCCTGACCCTCTCAGAATGGTTGCATGTTTTTAAGAGACATTAATGGTAAAATATTTTTCCCAAACTGAAGATGATTATTTCTTTTGTGTGGCTTAAAGGTTCATCATTTTCTCATGTTTACAAAGAGGATGCTTCAAAGGAACGGATGTTTGACTGTGATCATAAATTGTTCCGCTTTGATCTAAAAGAAATAATGAATGTATGGTATGGTATTGTTCAGCGAACAAAAGCCATGTAAGATTTAAGACGATGTTTGACCACCCAAGTTTGAATCAAATCGAGTGCTTGCAGCTGGCTTACTAAATTCAATATTGCACAGTGAATTAAAGGGGTTAAGAGCCAGTCTCTTCAAAAACAAAGTAAATTTTCTGTCATTCTACATAACCCTGCCTAAAGTTCAACATTAACTTTAAATATGTGCAAAGGCTCTTTGAGTTCACATCCAACTTCTATTCCCCACTACCCCAAACCTCAACTTATGGTAGCATAAACAAAATATTTCACAGAGATACTGACAATTTTTTAATACGCCACTGACACTGAAACTACACTGCAACAAAATTAGGCCAATAACTTTTTAAACACAAAGTAAAAAAGTTATATAAGGACACACACAGGGGTTTAGAAGCAGATATGCACATCATGGAAGAAGATGGCTGAAAACCCTGTCATACTCCATCATTCACATTAGGTTTATATTGGAATCAACCATACATAACCGTTACAGTAATCAGAGCGCCCATGACAGTGTATGGAAGATATTGAGAGAAGATTGATTCAAGGAAGTGAAGTGCAGAATGCGTTGCTTTGTCACAACAAGAGAGAGGGAGAGTGAGAGAGTGAAGGAAGAGTAAGCCTGATAATCTGGTGGCATTAGTACAAGAGACATGCCAACTACCATCTATTGAGCGCAATCCTCTGTGCATTGAGAAATACTCCTGACAATTTTACTCTTATTGCTTTAAATGAGACCTATTATGCTGGTTTGTATTGTAATACATGCATGTAACGGACCTGGACACCTTTCATAATGAGATACACAGTACAGACATGGGTGGAATCTCCAAGCCTGTTTCCAGATTCCCTGAATGGCTTGTTTTGACAACTTTGAAAACAAAATTTGTTCTGAACTTGATGTAAGGCTCTGCTGTCCTTTCCGGACATTGTTAAATGACATGCCCCGCTGGTAGCTCCACATCTACTCTGCATTTTGTTCGATAATTGTGTCTCAGAGTTTCTTATATGCAGTCTGAGGGAAAGATGAAGGCTTCAGAAAACTCTAAATTTTTTTTGACAACAGTTGTTTGTGCTCCTTTGTAGACAGAGTCCAGATCAAGGTGAATTTGGGTCTCGGCTGTTACTGAACAATGGCTAACCGGTGCTAACAAGGCTAAATGGGGAGCTGAGTAGGCACCAACAGATATCCTCTAATATTTTCTGCCAAAGCATAACTTCCCCGTTGTCAAGGGTTTTCATAGACAGCAGTGTAAAAAAAAGGTTTACTACAAAGGTGTCCCAGGCTGATATAATGCCAAATTAAAGGGATATTCCGGCGTTAAATTAAGTTAGGGTCAAACATCGTAACACAGAGTTACCCCATAACACCGAGTTGGGACATCTTTTTAGCTTTGCCTGACTTTAGCAAAGAGACTAAACACAACTCACTGTCTCTCTCCAGCAGCTGTTTGTTTGTACGGAGACTGAGTCCATCTACTGCAGCGGGGGGACGCAGCTCAAGGAAGAACATTTATGATCATTTCTTCATGGAAATGCGATCAGACTGAGACGCTAAGGCAGAAAAACTACCGTGTCTGCAGTGCAAAATGATTAATATGATGATTATTACTTCACAGAAATGATAAAGTAGTGATCATAAATGTTCTTCCTTGAGCTACGTCACCCCGCTGCAGTCAAAGACCGAAGGTCTCCGTGCAAACAAGCGGCTGCTGGAAGAGAGACGGTGAGTTGTGTTTAGTCTCTTTGCTAAAGAAATCAGCAAAGCTAAAAAGATGTTCGGTGGCTAGTGCTATGGCTAGGACCCTATATGTACAGTTGATGAAATTAGGTGCTGTTTTGAGCATTATTTGTTGCTATAGAGTGGCGTTTTGATTGAGCACGTGGCTCCTGGGACCGCTGTGTATTGCTATCGTGCGGTCGTTACGAAGTTGGTAGAACTAGAGAAGCAAGCAGTCGGCAACATTTATCTCTCAAGGGAGTGTCTAATAATAATGTTAGGGTGTGTTTGACCCTAACTTAATTTTACAACGGAATATCCCTTTAAATTGAGTGAGATAGGTCCTTCTAACTGCACTTGGTTGTCCTGCATGTTTTCACAAAGCTCCATTATGTCACCCAGCAGCATCTAGAGTACAGCAAGATTTGATCTACATCACAGCCAGAGCAAAGGGACCGGCACGGACTTGGTATTCTGTCACAGTCTGGATCCAAAAATCCATAAGTGCCTTTTGTTTGAACGGGAACTGTACTTCTCCATCAGATGCCAGGTCAATCAAGTGCGACTGAAATGACAGCTGTGGGACGGAGAGCTTTAAACAAGAGGCAAATCTATATCTGAGATTGTCCATATAGATGCTCAGCCAATCGGTTTGAGTGTTCATTTCTTTGATACACTTTTGACAAGTTCCCCTGTGGCGTCATTTGCCTCAAAGTATTGGATACTTAGGAAGTGCAGGAATGTAGTCTTAACAACCTCATAATTCTAGTGTTTCTTTAATCAGTCCTTTCCCTTTGCTGTGTGTTAAACAAGCTAACACTGAGTGCTCTTACCTTGCATTCAGGTATGCTCCTATCTGCAGAGAGCCCTGATTATGCAGATAATAACTGCCTTATCAACACTTTACCCATAACAGCCAGTGCTTTCCACTGAGCAGCAGCCATGTTTTGTCTTTATTGCATAGTGAACAACCTTGAATCCAGAGGATTCTCTTTAATGAAGTTCGTTAGTTTTACAGCGTGTGTTTGAGCATGTTAAGTGCATCTTCAGGCATGTTTTGGTTGTGAAGGCTTCACTGAACACGGGTATGTAAGAGAGTCGATGGACAGACTTCCTTGAATTGAGCCATAAGCTCTTATGCCAAATCGTTCCTTTTGTCCGTTTACAGCTCATTCCCGCTCAGTGTTTTTCGGACCGTTTCAACGAGCCTCACAAAAAAGTTAATTAACTGAGAGATGTCTTCAGCTGTTGTTCTGGAAGGACAAAAAAATATCACTGTGACAGAAATGTTCTTCAGTTTGCCACTATTTTCCCCCCTCCACAATGTGTCTCCAATCACACATGACATTTTATCTTTGACAGCTGGCAAGAACAAGTGTGTGGTGGTCCCATTCTTTCATGAAACCAGGCAACATGTTTTCTTGAAAGAATGTAATAATACTACTGCAGCTATTTTGGCTGTTCTGCCTCCCTTTAAATCTCGATGTGGCAAATATAAGAAGCCTTTGAATCACAATGGCACTCTTCAACAGGCTTGGCTATTTTAAGTTAAGCCTATACATCATACATCCTTTAAGTGGAACTCCCCCCATTTCACCCTTTTGATTTCCTCCTCCACATACTTGTCTGATCCAACTACTTAAACCAGTGCACAGCAACAAATCAGAGTAATCTATGGGATTTTTCTTCTGCAAAAACTCCCAAAATGCTTCACAATTACACTGCTATTACATTATCCTCATGCATATCCCCTTGAAGAAACTTGAAGCCACCCAAAACTTTAAGAAAGCCTAGCTCAGATGAGTCCATTATTCTGTAAGACAGGCCTGTACCACTTCTTCCTACACACTCTGCTTAGCTGTATTTTATTTTGCTACAGTCTCTGCACATCACCTGAAGGACATCTACTTCAAGGGGAAATCTTCTACCCACTCTGCTTTTGTCTTGCTGTTGTTTTCCATGCAACCTGAAAACCTTCTCTTACCCTCCTCTTTCCTGGGATAAAAGTGACAACATTTTCAAAAGGCTGCTTGATTAGGCAGAGTGCAGTAGTCGCTGGGCCCTGCGGCTGTTGTCAGGCTTGTCTCTGCACCGCTGCCTCTGCTGGTGAGATTTATCCTGTTTGTTTTGGTACAGTAGCAACATGTTTCTCTTTCTGAGCAGATATGCACCTTCACTCCCTCGAAAGAAAAACAACATTTTCACAGGCGGAGAAGAAGAGAGGTACTGAGGCAGGTGCCTGCACTACTTCCACGAAGGCTTTCTCACCAGCAGACAGTATATAACACATTTGGTGTTCCTTTATCTGCTCTGTTTTAGAGTCACTTCCACACCTTTATTTATGTGAACTCTGATTCTTACAGAAACACCATCTGGGTGGTTATACAGCACAAGCTGAAAATGCTTTCCTTTCAACACATCCTGCCCGAAGTCTAAGGTGAGACGGTGTCACTGAAAGTTATGTCCCTGCGTTTGTGTTTCAAGGCTTCACCCATGCGTACAAGAACACAGTAGGCATGTGATGTTGTGTTAGCATATATATTCATACAGAATATTAAATCCTTTGCAGTATTTTGTTCACTATATGCAAACATCAGTCTGAATGAAGCAGGATGCTCAGTTTAAGCCTGAATCCACAGTGTTCTGCTTGTCACCTTCTCCTGTGATGACAAGTAATTAAAATGATGTTTGAATTGTTGAGCTTCACTCGCTGTGGACGCCTCCAATAAAAGCCGGCTGTTTATGTTAATCAGCCAAATGTAAAAGAAAAAAAGAAAAATGAAAGACAGACCAGCCTGCAAAGCTTGATATTACTGTGCTCATGCGGCTTATTTTGATGCAGGAGAATACAAACATGCTTTGAAAGGTGTCACTTCTATTGTGCTGGCTGTTTTCAACAGACTTTATTGGTATTGCCATCCAGAACTAGTGCAACCAAACCAGGCCGGACGTTAGCATCAAAACATACAAGCAATCTTTTGATAGTAGGAATGGTTATCTTAACTTTGGGAGTCAAGTGTAGATGTTAATATTTCAGAAATGTAAACTCCACTGACAAAAAAAAGGTTAATAGGCACTTGAATAAAGTTTAACTGTGATTCTTCAAACAAATATTACCCTTAAAGACCCACTCCGATGAAAATTATGTTTTTTCTTGTTGTCTACATGTTCATATGGCATTTTTCTGATGCTAAAGGATGCGAACAAATTTTTATGTAGGATGGTAGGTGAAGGTCCCACCCTCCCTCGCCTCTGATTGGCTAAAAGTGATGGGCTTTGGTTGTGTTATTCCTTATGGCTGTGAAACGTCATCAACTGTCAGGTTAGAGTTAGGGTTAGAGTTAGGGTTAGGAGATTTAGAAGTGCGATACTGTTATGTTAAGTTTTCTTTGATGTACAGAGCCAACAGGCCGTGTTTGGCTTTAAGCCTGTGATGACGTTTCCAGCTTTTCTAGCCAATCAGAGGCGAAGGAGGCGGGACTTTCCCCTACCATCCTACAAAAAAATTATCGCCTACAGGACATATCATGAGAAAACTAAGAGCGAAATTGCATTTCTGAGTATTTTTACGTTCAAATCGCTGAGAATCTCTGACAGACCCAAATGGCAGGTTCAGAAACAGTGAGATTTCTTACATAGCAAATCCAAGCTCCGCCCCCTGAGCCCCACTATGCAGGCCAGACTGAGAACTAGAGAGGATAATCGTGGAACAAGCGTACGCTTTAGTACAGAGGTCCCCAACCACGGGGTCCCGGACCATTACCCATGGATCAATTAGTACCGGGCCATAAAAAAAATTAGGATGATTAAATAATTCTTTTTCTTTTCATCCATCCTCCCACTATCTTATTTTGAAAGACCACCACTACCGCCATCGCCTCACTTTCATGCTTGACTCTTCAGCACGTAATTTTCCTGCATCAGCAACACAAGCTAGCCCTTGCAAAAATGAGCCAGAAAGAGTTCACTAGTTCACTGGAGAGAGAAAGGGTTGATTCTGCATGATGGTGAGTTGATGTTAAAGTGTAATGAAAAGTGCCGAATACAGAATGTAATTGTTTTATCCAGATTACGTACAAACTATGTACTGATTAAGGTCTTTGTTGGAACCTCCACGCCCCTACCCGGTCCTTGGAAAAAGTCTCCCGCATGAAACTGGTCCCTGGTACAAAAAAGGTTGGCGACCTGCTTTAGCAGATTGCAATGCTTGTAAGAAAGCTAATCATGATATTAACTTTCATTGTGTCCCTAAAGGCATTAGTGTCCGAGAGCTGAATAGCTGCTATGTTATCTGCCACTTCTACTACACCGGCGATGTCAAGCTGCAAACTAATATGAAGACCAATGTGCTGAGCAGCGCTGTCTCAACCCACAACTCAGAGGCAAATTGCTAATGAGCTACTGGAGCTCTGCGGGAGAAAAGTCAACACGATCAGAATGGAACTTTAAGAACTTTAGAAAAATTTAAATGATTTTTTTAAAGTGCACTCAAACTATGTAAAGGTGAAGTACAATTACCCCTATTATCTTTTTCTCTAAATTCAAAACGTCCATCAACCATCCACTCATGTTATTTAAGACCGACCACTTTTAGGCTGTTGGAGGAGAAAAGATAATTCAATGTAACTGGTTTCACTTGTGACAGCTCCTCCTTACAGAGAAAGCCTCTAGAGAAACCATCTGTCCAGGCTTTCACCAACTTTCCCCATAGTCATTAAAACACAGTGCACCTTGCACAGTATGGGAATACACCAGCACTCTATGACTCACATCACACATGCCTCATGTCTCTCATTAACTGTGCCACCTCTGTCACTGATGTTGTACCAACTTGACTTGGCTGAGACAATCTCTGTCTGTGGGCCAGGGGCTCGACAAGCAGTTAAAATAGAAGAAGTGCTCTCATTCTCTGACAGACAGGGAAAATCAAATGATACTCCTCTCAATATTTGGCTTTTTTAAGTAACAAAGACCCACACTTGGCATAAGTCATGGCGTTAAAGGTGTATCCTCTCTTTGCATTCATAAATCCATGACTTAATGTTGGAGACTGACAAAGTGGGGGGAAACAAGACAGACTTCGTCTCTTTGTGTGGCTGATCTTGCAGCACTGACAGTCTGTGTCCACAGAGTGTGAATTGTTGTGGCACAGAAAGCTTAGCAGCTGCTCGACACTAATTGTGGGCCTCAGGTGATTTGGCAGCTGATGCTTTCGAAGACACCTGAACAACGTAAGTCAGAGTAAAGTCATCATTAGAGGCCCGGAGGAGAATCGTGGACCAACTTTGAATGCTGCACTTATATCTACAGTACTATAGAAAAATAGGTGACTGAGGTGAGAAATCTGAGACACTCAAATGTCTTCTTACAATGTAACCATGGTAACACTTGTCATTTTTATGCATATCTGCAAAAGCTTTAATGGCAAATCATTTCAACTCCTCTTGAGTACCCAGTCTTGTCTAAAATAAGGTGTCAGTGATGCAAAAAGAAAAATCCTCCTTTTATAATACAGATCTGAATTCCTCCTGTGCTTTTATCATTTGTAGGACATGCTGCAGGATCGTGTCAGAGCTGTCTACCTTTTTTTTAAACTGCAATCAATAAAATGATCAATCATTCTTTGAATCACATGCTTTAAAATTCATTTATTTTGCATTTCAAAACAATATTAAAGTCTATATGAACACTGATTGTGGAATTAAATGACTTTTTCCATTCAAACTTGGCTAAGAGGAAACTTAGCCAATCCCATTAGGCTGAGCAATAATAATAATAATAATAATAATAATAATAATAATGATAATAATAATAATAATGGACATATAAGACCTTTCTCTCATCAGTCATCATGGGTATGCCTCAACTCTCTGAAGCGAGAAGCTGGAGGTATTGGTGAAGACTGAGAAAACATTCATCCAATGAGTGCAGTCTCTTGTGTTTGACTGAAGCCTGGTTAAATCAAGTGTGGATCTACCTGGCGTCACTCTCATGAGGTCAGACAGAGATGCTAAACAAAGTAGGGGGTCTGGCTTTATTTGGTGTAACTCTTCACTCATAACCATCAAGGAGAGGATGTGTTGTCCAGATATTGAACCGTTAACAGTTGCTCTTTGGACATATTATGTTCTAAAGGAGTTCAGTCATATCATAACAATACTTGTTTGCATGTATTCTCAGCATCCTGAGGCACTCGTAATAATATCAGGAGACTTCAAACATCTCACCCTCTCCTTTCACTTCAGTGGATTTACAGTTAAACTATCCTTCATGAGATTCCAGATAAATTAATTTCCATTTGGAGATAAATAATGATTTTGTATTGTATTGTTTTTAGAAGTGTATGTGTACAGAATGTCCACTAACATGGTGTGCACTAATAATTTTCACAACTCACTGACATCTAATGATTCCAGGTTAAACCGTCAGCATTTGCACTTCTCAGGACTTCCAGTGTGTGTGACATTTTTATTATAGATCGCTACTCACACTGAGTTGTTGCATGTCTTAAGAAGATATTTAAAAGTTTAAAACTTTAATTCTGCCCAGTTTTTTGTGGTTTCTGAGTTATTTTTCTCACCCTTGGAGGAGTTCGTTTGTTAGAGTTTAGATTTTCGTAACATCCCGTAATGAGGCTCTATCAGTATCATACACTGACCGCCCTTGTAAACAGTGTCCAATTTCATGTTGCTGTTATAAATGGAGTTTAGTTGAGGCACGTTTTCAAAAAAGGATGAAAACACTAGATATATATTTTTATTTTCAAAGTGTATTTAGTCAAACAACTGCATATGCTCCAGACAGGAAAAGGCTTTCCAGTCAAGTATCGCCTCTCCTGTGAGGTTGTGTTAAAGTCTGTGAGAAACAGAGGGAGAGAAAGACGGATGAGAGAGGAGTACTTCTGTTTTGTATCCACTCTTAACCTCCTGCCCCGTGGCAATGACATGGTCTGTAGGAGTCCCTCCATTAGTACGCACTGACCTAATGTAATAAACATCCAGGACTGATTCCTCCCAGACCATGGGTACTTTATCACAGATGATAAACCCTGTTCTGGTAAGTCTGGCTTCAGGGGGAGGAAAACTAGAGGAGGGGAAGGGGGGAGTCTGGGGGGGATGCTCAAAGGGTGAGCACAGCCATTACAAAGGGCAGGGACGGGCTGTCATGCTTTTGCGTCAGCCTCAAACCCCCCTTTTCTCCGTCTCCGTCTGCATTCTGCTTCACTTGTCAGGAAAATTGGCAAGCACAGGGAGTGAAAAAGGCGGATCAAGTTGAGCAAGCGCCCAGCTCAGAGGCCAAGCTCGGGCGTTGAAACTGAAAAGTTAAGGTCCTCCCACTCCAGAAAACAAGTGGAAAAGAAAAAAAAAAACTAAACAGATGAGCTATTTTTAGAACACTCTTTTACAGCTGTAAGCGTTTTGTACTGAAACCCGAAAGTTGCCAGTTTAGACTGTGTTGTAACCATATAAGGAAACATGAGGGATGATCAGTTCATACATGTCAGCCTGTGCCGCGAGGTAAAATCCCCCCGTAAACATCCCTGCACTTCCAGCAGAGCTGCGTTCAAATGGAGAACTGTTTGCCAGAGGTACATAGGGGGCTCTGTTTCTGTCCCTGGAGAAGCTGAACTTCAGAGCGAGCTGTCCTTTACATGAATGCTAAATGAGCTGTTCAAGGCTATCACACTGCTTATCTCTCCTTTGTAGCTCTCACTTTACAAAACTGAAGGTGCGATACGAAATGTGTGGTATCTGTCAAGAAGAAAGGTGTTTATCTTAGTGGGGATTTTGCCAGGATGTGCAGGAAGAAAGAGGTTTAAACTCACAAACCTGAGGCACAGCCTGAACTTCACACACACACACACTCGCCCATCTCCGCTCATCCTTTGAGCACTGCATCAATAAAAAACATTTGCCTTGTGTTACTAAAGGCTGACCCTTAGTGCTATAAAAACAGACCAGGTGGGCTCAGTATAAAAGCAAAAGAGGATTTTGTGTCCTGGTGTTGCCACAGCAACGCTGAGCTTCAGTGATTAATGAACCTCCCACAGCGAGTTCTCCTTTATAAGACAGCAAGTGAGAACCGTGGGAACCTGTGTAATACAGACAAGTACTGAGCCCCTACTTATATATTTTTAGTCATACTGTGTTAATTTACCTTAAGTCCAATCTTAATATGCATTTTTGAACTGTGTCTCACCTAGTGGGGGATGCCAGGGAAAGGCGATTTTCCCACCAGTTAATAAACTAGAGAAAACACCAGAGCAAATGAGCACTTAACCAGAAAAAAGAGCTGATAAAGTCCAGTATTTTTAGATATCTTGCTAAGATATTTTAATACTAGACTCTTTCTCTATTATCCTGTCAGTCATCAGCCTCTTCACATGGCTCCGGGTGAACTTGCTTCACACTGATCACGCAATTACTGAAATCTGACTCCTGCAACCCTCTCTTGTTGTAAAAAGCAAGACACTTTCTGTAATAATTTCAGCAGACTTTGTCCCTGTTCAAATCTGAAAAACAGCTTCTTCAGTAGATGTGAAAAGTTCATGGAGGTGTCAGGAATGTTGCACAACCAAAAGAGCTGACCTCTAAAAGTAAAAGACTTTAAAAGTCTATCAAGGATACCAAAGTCAACTTGAATTTTATCACACAAATCTCTGCAATGTTGTTATTTTCAGCTGTTTTATTGTACAGACACCTATAGAATACAGTAAAACATCTCAGTAGAGTGAACAAGACTCTTTGATTCCAAAAACCTACTTCAAGAACCATTTCCAAGCCAAAAGATCTGGTTCTCAATGAGCCAAATGATCTGGATCAGTTGGAAAGAGCCTTCCCATCACTGGTAGCATTTATGCTGAGGTTTCTTGCTCGAGAAAGAAGGATTCAAACCCTGCTCTGCCATGGTAGAGCAGGGTTTGAATTAGTAATCTGTAAATCTTTGTGGGCATAATGTGCTTGGATTAAAATCTTTAACTGGATCTGGATCTGGTGGGGACCCACCCCAGAGTAGCAGTGGAGAGATAGACCATCAGACAATCAAGAGGATTCAGTGCTTATTTGGCGTCAATATTGGATTATACTTCTTGGGCAAAGGCTTCACTGACTCCAAATGATGGTAACATTAAGAAAGTGTTCAGTAGTCTGATGGCAGCCTCTACCCAGCAGTCTGCAAGGAGCAAAAACAATCACAGATTACCTTTGCTTTCCTAGGGAACCACCTCTGAAAACACACCAATCTGCTCTGTGGGACGGAAAAGCCCTTGGACATTGCAGAGTTTACTTCTGGCAAGCTCACGAGGTCAGAATTTACCATTATTGGTACATCATATAGTTTTATTTCTTGAGTTAAATCTAGAGTCTGTCTGCTACGATTACTTCCTTGACTCCTTTATTGTCGTCCCTCTGAAAATTATGTAGATGGCTTGAATTTGTTAGAACTAGTTTTCGATTCCCATCCTGAGTCTGCTTCAGCTCAAAAGTTTATAAATTGTTGTTAAAACAAGAGACACAATGGTAAATGTCCCCCGGCGCCAGCTTGGAGGAAATATGCTGCTGGCATCAAATTTAACAAGAATAACATTTTCAGTTTTAATATTTCTGTCAAGTAAATAAAGGCTTTAATTAATGTGTAATGGAGCGCTCACACCAAGCGTGAGTAAAATCATCTACTCGCCTTATTCACATGAATCTAGACACGTGAATGAATAGTATTTACTTGCTTCATTTGTGCGTCAACAGTAATTTCAACAGTAATCCCTGCCAATCAGCCGGCGGGATCAAGTGATAGACAAAGGCTTTTTACAATTTGCCAGGTAACCCGACCTCCTCACTCACTTCCCTTACTTTCCTCCAGGCGAGCTCCTTCTTATTCTGTTTTCGGTAATTGAATAACGGTATGAAATAATTCGGGGCACCCACACACCGACACGATCAGTTTGTCCTCAATTTTAGGTACCAGTGAACAAACTTTCATTTTCATACGTTACCCGGCAATCTTCGTGCTTATTAGTTTTCATGACATGAATATCTGCTAAAGTTGAGACATTTTCAGCTCCCGCCCAATTCGCATCATTTGCGCCGCCAGAGTAGTAGGAGCGTCTTATCGCGTCTTTGCATTGACTTAACATGTAATTCATTCGCGCGAATGATTTTACTCCCGCTTGGTGTGTGGAAACAGCAACACATCAAGAATATGTTTTATTTTGTTTGTTTTTTTACTAAGCACAACATTCCAGCTTTAAGGTTGTCATAGAGATCATACTGGCATGACCCACAGGTGAATTGTTGATGATTAGAAAACAACAACTACTTTCTATTATGTTTTGTGTAATGATTCAACAGTTTCTGCATTATACTGGTCTGACAAAAGGGGATTTTCAAAAATGGGAGTTTATCCTTGAAACTATGAGCTCACCCTCAGCAAAGATGCAACACAAAAGAAACACTTTTTGCTTAGCTTGTGGTCCAGCCAACAACCACTGATACAGATAAATCAGTTCCTGTTTAAGACCATGAGTTATTTCCCCCTCAGTTTAGCCTTCCACAGAAATCTGTTGTTGTCTGTATTATATCTATTTCTGGCCAGGGGTTGTGATAGGCTACTAGAAGGGGCTGGTTCCAGGTAATACATTGTGGTAAACTCATTAGGAACCTTTGGTAACTAATTGTCTGATAGGGGGCGATACCCTGGAGGAGCTCAGCCTAATGGGATTGGCTAAGTTTCCTCTCACTCGTTTTATGTGTGTGTGTGCAGCCAACAGTGCCAGTACTATACAGGCACATAGCCATAGACTTTTACTCCTTCAAATACACAGTCAGTTGACAAGAGGGAGATTAGGGAGTGAGGGATGTAATTAAATGGATTGCTTTGGATGCAAAGAGTAGAGGAGCGATGCATGTTCGGGTTCAGTGAATCATTGACTGAATGGGATGGATGTGGCTGGATGTTTCTGTCTATGCATGTTTGTTTGGGAATGGATGTATTTCCCTGTAAAGAGTTTTGCAATCCAGCATAAACACACATTTTACTGCTGTAAAATGAAGATTTAGATCTGCACACTGTTTGCAGTATTACAGTTTGGACACCAGATTTGGCCTTATACCTAAGTGGACATTTAGTCAGTTCAAACACAATGAATGTATATAATAATCTACCTAAAACACTGCCAAACAGTGTAGTGATGCTGTAAAAGTACAGTAGTATACCGTCTGAGGAAGGGTTTGTCTGCAGGAGCTTTTTCATGGTACAGTAATAGTTGAGGTGAAATCATCAGAAAAAGAGCAGCTTCAGTGATTTCCTCACATACAGTGATGGAGAAGACTAACTGAGCTGTTGGAGCATTTATCTAATCAATAATCAGTAAACCACTGAATGATCTGTGTGGGTGAGAGAGCAGAAATCGATATGGGAGCAAACTGAAACGAAGCTTGTGATGATGAACTAAACTTCTATCTGATAGTTTAGAGAAGTGTGAACGTTAAGTGTTGTTATTCAAAGTGGACTATTCCAGTGAATACCTTTGGTTGTTGCTACATGTGTAAAAATATATGTGTATTAAATCATATGAAGTTGAATATAATGGGGTGATAGTTGGCAGGTATTTCTGTCTGTCATTAAAACCCAATTCAATCACTAAATGCAAACGCTAAACACGACTTGCAATGTTTTTATTTCACATTTGACTACTCTGTATTAATGAAATAAGTCGACAGCTTAATAAGATGCCATTATACACACAAGCAAAGCACTTTAAAACCTGTCCTGCCAAAACCTGTCTGTGCCTCATAATCAGAGAAACTATTTGTGGCATAATGGAAATAAAGAGTTGAAACTACTGTCACAGCAGAATAAGCAAAATGGGAGTGTAAACTTTGCATTAAAAATGCCATCAATGTCAATTCAACATAATGGCGATAATTATTTATAAAGTTTAATTTATGTTCTTGTCACGGAGGCAGAGTTGGGACAAAGCTCGAGCAGCCTTGTATACGCGCCCCCCCCCCTTACATGGCACGTCTCCAACATTTCTGCACCAAAGAACAGGAAAAGGCTCCCACCTGAGTCAGAATCCTTACTGCAATTCCAACACATCTGTCACCACACTGGGAGAGCTGGGTGCACTTCCTGCTGAATTATTTGCATTTTCATACATCTTCTGACAAATCCTGGGGGATACAGGCCATTAGGAACCTGGGCAAAAGGTACTATACACGAATGCTAAATGAGCTGTTAAATAAAATCACCCTCCTCATATTTCCTCTCTGGGGAGCTTGGCAAGCCATGTCCTACTGCTGCAAGTGACTTATTATTACAAACGTGAGTGAGTGGAGCAAATATCTCAGTTTTTGCAGAGTGAGGAATTCAAATGTTGATTTCTGTAGTTCACGTGGTGGATGTTGTAAAATCCCCATGATCACTGAATAGTAAAATAGTTTTTTCAAGAGATGATTGTGAATAAAGCCCCTTCAAGAATATGGGGGAGATTCACAAGAAGTGGACTGCTGCTAGAGTCACCATGGACAGATGGATCCAGGGCATGGTCCTCAACGGTCCCATTCCCTGTGTCAAGCCACTCTTGAACCAGGGACAACAACACAAGGCTCAGGACAGAAAAGACTGGACTCTTGCTCAGTGGTCCAAAGTCCTCTTTTCAGATGAAAGTAAATTTTGCATTTCTTTTGGAAATCAAGATCCCAGAGTCTGTGTAAAGTTTTCCCAGTCAGTGGTGGTTTTGGGAGCGATGTCATCTGCTGGTGTTGGTCCTCTGTGTTTTATCAGGTCCAAGATTACAAAGCTATCTACAAAGAAGTTTTAGAGCACTTCATTCTTCCCTCTGCTGACCAGCTTTATGGAGATGCTGATTTAATTTTCCAGCAGGACTTGGCACCAGCCAAAAGTGGGATTAGGGTGGCCGTGGCAGAAGGCAGAGACATCTGTGAAGATCTGTGTCACGAATTTTTGTTGATGAAAAACAATTTGACTGCAAAAGTTGGAGACAGTGTGTGGGAGTGTTTTGCTTCACAAAGAAAGAATGGTATGGTCTTTGGTCTTCTGAAATCCCTCGTCCTTAACAACTGAGAACGGTCTCATGTCATGGGCCACCTCTTATTCTCACCGATTTGAGGGAAGAAGCGATACTGCGAATGACTTCTGGAGAGTTGTTTGGATGTTTGATAACTGTTCTTTGTTAGAACAGACACTTTGTGATAGTGTTGTGAATGGTAGGTCATGTTTGTACTGTACCGACAGAGTTTGTGGTTAGTCTTGGTTCTGTTCTCCATCTTATCACCATTTTCTTGAGACGGTGAAGCATCTACTATCTCCACATTGTCTTCCATCCTGTAAACACTGCAGCATGTAAGCTGCTACGGCAAGCGAGAGGGTCAAATCTTGATTACTTTATTGTATTTTGTTCGTCTTTGAATTTTATTTCGTTACACCCCTACTTGTGAGAGTAACTTGCACTGCCTTCCCACCCATTTATTTTTACCATTTATGTGTTGTGGCATTATAAAAGCATGTTTAGTTATGTATACGAAGAGCAGAAGCAGCAAAGCTTCTTCATAGCCGAAGTCTTCTACAGAAGAAAACTTCTCCTCCATCTGCCATCCGTGAATTAACATCTAAACGTCAGATCACTTCAGCATGCTTGGCTTTTCTTGTTTTCATTGTGTTCACAGTTGGGTTGCTGAATATCAATATTTAAAAGGTTTATGAAAACGACCTCTGCTATGATTGGACTCTCACTGCGATGATTTTATCTCCTGTGACATTTCTTCAGTGTTCTCAGCTCTGGAAGGCTGTTCTTAAGCTTGAAAGTGTAAATTCAAACCAACGTGGCCTTGAACTTAATGCTCGCTTGCTCTTTCCTTTTTTTCCCTCTCTCTACATCTACCCATCTAGCCCCACATCAAAGCGTAGGCTGTTAAAACCCTGTGGTGAGTGCTCTGGAGGCCCTGCGTGGTGCTCTTCCACTGAGGTGTCTGCATGTAATAGAAGTTTAGAGAAACACTCCGGCTTTAAACAACTTAAAATATTGTAAAAGTGGGATTATGATATCTGATTCTCTTTTATTTCCCTGAGTCTGGCAGCGCTGTTGGCCTCATACTTCTCAAAACAAACCAATTGTTGAGTTGATGGATAACTTCATTCTCCAGGCGATATCACAGCCTTCTCAGCAAACTGGATTTGACTAAATTTTGGAAAGAAAAGCAACTCAGCCTGCATTGCAAATGTGTGCAGGTTAATAGTTGCCAGGTTTATATTAAAATATTAGTCAAGCAGGTTAATAGGATATTTTCACATCATTGCATATTGATGATTGGACTCCTGTTGAACTAAATAAATTCTTTAAAGGCTGTGTGTTGAGAGGCCGCAAGCCAAAAGAAAATATATTTCATTATATTTGTCTGCTACTCTCTAAAAGACAGTGAAACTTAACTCTGCTTGAGGCAACACAGAAAGTGTTTGGGGAACTAACCTCAAGACAGTTCCATTTCTAAATTCATACAGATACAAGTTGCTGAAAGGCATCGCAGCGTGCCAAACATATAGTATGTAGGATAAGGATGTAAAGCAGGATGTGTTCTTTCTTCAGCACATTCAAGAGTCTCAACGGCGATGAATAGGTCTAATGCAGGATATGTTAAACTCTTTATTACAAGAATGCCCATTATAATCACATAGTGCTCAAAACATGTAATATTTAAATTTGTCATTTACCTGTTTTAATTATCTCTACATAGTGGATTTACGGGTAAAACTAGAGAAGCATGGGAGATATCAGAGCCCTCATATGTGTGCCTGGAGGCTTGCATAATTTCCATCTCTTTTAAAATATTCTGTTAATACTCTTCCATTATCATTTTTCTGCCAATGCCACTGGCAAGAGACAACAGAGGATATGCTGTATTCCCTACAACATGCATCGCTGCTTATGAAATATTTGATTCATATAAAACAGGACCATATGGACGCATAATACCACCCACGGACATTTGAACACAGCTCCTGTACTGCAGATAACGTTTTTTTAGATGGTGGCAAATTTGGCATTGTCCAGATTTAGACATTTACCAAACACCGTGGTATCTTAGCTTTTACAGATATATGTAACTTGGACACTTCAATAAGGTGACAAATGGACTTGACAGAACATCTGTGATTGTGCACCAATGAATTTGAACAGTTTGTTTGTGTAATCACCGTGTGACCCCGGATTTCCACTGCGTCCAGAACTGCTCCGATCCGATGCCAATTCCTACTGGATCTGTTTGAGGCAAATTTTGTGGTGGATTACGGACAGCAGGAATCGCGAAAACTCACAAGAACCCGCGGACTAGCGGCTAACCATATAAGCAGTCCTCTCATCCATGGTGTCATCGGGATGAAATGCTGTCTTTCACTTGTTCGTCCCGCCTGTTTGCATGGTGTGAAATACTATCCGCCTAAAACACTGACTTTTTTATTTCAAAAGAAGCCGGATGTTTCACTTTGTGTCTATGCCCGACTTCCTTTCCAGCAGGGAATAATGCTCCAGAACATACTCCGGCGTCCAAAGAAGCTGGTGGAAACTGACACATTGACTTGAATGGTTACGATCAGCGACCATCAACGAATATGGCCTTTTCATAGCCGTTCCAGATGCGGTGGAAATCGCCAGTGAGAGTTGAGGGTCTGACAGAGAGCAGAGCAGAGACACGCAAAGTGAACAGTATGAAGAGCAGCTTCTGACAAACGAATTATTTCTCTTAATGTTTATGCAGAGCTGCTGGTGTGCCTGCAGCTCTTCAGGACTTAACAGCTGTGAAAATAGATTCAACGTTTTATTCTTCCTTTTTTTTTTAATTCACAGTCTTGTTTTTATTCCCTCACTGCTCTCTTTCTCTTTCTCGCTTTCCTCAATCTTTTAGCACAAGGAGCTAGCATAAAACAGCAAAATCTACAGGGGCTGAGGCCATGATTGTAGGAAGACATCAAAAACAGAGTGATCAGGTGACATCAAGAGGAAAGAAAAAGACATTTAGTGACCACACAAGGGCCAAGGAAAGCTATATGGTACTATCGGGAAAATAAATGGTGAAAATAAAGAAAACTTTGCTACGCCAAAATGTACAGATATATTTAACTGTGTGTTATAAAAGAGCTATGCTTGATGACCTACATATTCAAAGGTTGTTTTGCTATATGCAGACAAAAACGTCAGTAGACTGTGTTTTTTTCAGTCATTTTAGTCGTTTCTTTTCCGCCTAAAACATTTCTTAACTCTTCAAACTGCCTTTTAGACAGACTTCTGAAAAGCCTCTGGGACTGGATTATATTTTTAGACATGTTTTCTCTCTTAGGGATTCTGACTCAGTAAGTTCAGTTTTTTTTTTTTTAATACCGTTATCTCAGGCTCATTTCCTAACGCTTTTGGTACCTAACTGGTAGTGACCATTGAAAGGTTTTCTCTTTATGTTTTCTTGTGTGCTCTTTGTCTTTTGCATTATTTTTTTTCATGACTGTTTTTATATTTTGCTGTAAATAATTTTCCCTTGAGAGAACTGGCATCGTGAGTGGAGGAAACCACTTGACAGTATCATGTTATCTTGACATTGTGATGATAAACTTAGCAGAAAAATAACAGTTATTACATCCTGTTGATAGAAGGCTTTCTGCTATGTTTGACCTTGACAGTAGTAGTTTGTTTTTGCTTTTACATTTTTATCTATTTTCTCCAGACTGCCACTTTATTCTCTCTCTCTCTCTTTCTCTCTCTCTCGCTTTCTTGCTCCTTCTCTTCAACTAAGTACTTGTGCGTGTGTATGTGTGTATGTGTGTGTGTTTGGGCACAAACCCTTATCCCTACACAATCACTCCTTCAACTGCTTCTTTCTGTAAGTCACAAAAATTCTATTCAACATACTGCGGCTTCCCTTGGATGGTCTGGATGGGCTCTCAGTCTTGAACTGTTTGAAGAAACTTCATTCGCCATCTGTCACTGACCTGTATAAACCCGGTCTTTCTGCGTGGGCCAGTCAGACTCTCAATATGTTGGTCGTTGAAAGTCATCCATCATGAAATTGCATTAAAAATAAGATTTCTAATTTACTCAATGCAGCATATAAACGATTTAGTAAAAGAAAAGACAATGTAGAGATATTAACAGTGGAAATGTTGTGTATGGCAGAGTAAAATAAATTACTAAGCAGAGAGCAGAGAAAAAAGACAGAAAAGCATATAATCCCTGCTCATTAATTCACTACATTAAGACTTTCCATAAGAAGCTTTTCAGCTGAAAATCAGATCTTCATCTTTTCTCTGATGTTCTCATCTCTCTCTAAATGAAGACAGACGGATTTGTTTATTTGCATAATTTTTTATTAATTTCTTATTCATAGGAGACACAAATTGGCAGGAGTGTTTCCTCTTTTGCTTCTTCAGATATCAGCACTCTCGGCTCGAGTGCAGCAGATGTGTTTCACTTCTTGATTGAATGACACTTTCTGTTTCGAAGTCTCTCAAACTACCATGTCTGTCCCTGCATTTGTCCAGCCCTAAAGGGGAATTTCTTACTGATGGAAAAATCATGCAAAACGTCTCTTTTTGAAGCTTTCCTGTTTCCAGTTCAATGACTTCTGACACTTCGGTATAATTCCACATCAGAGTTCATGAGGCTCAGCCGGGCAAGCTCATGTTTTTTTTTTTTTTTCTCACTGATGTTTCTCTATTTGATTCCAGGGATTGGACGGAGCGAAATGATAGCTTTTACCAAAATAGGATTTAACTGGAGATGTGCTTGTCATGACTCAGTACCAGTGGAAATCACTCTGCATAGGGACGCCAGCCTCCACAGCTAAATCTTTGGAACAAAGAGGAAGATGTGTTTCATGGACGCGTGCAGCTCTGAGCTACCTATTAGCATTTAAGTCGCAGAAAGTGTAAAAACATGCAGGATGATCTCTCAGCCGTTGTGCTATCTCATTCCAATCTGTTATATTGGTTCTAGGTTCATGTCAAGCTAGTGATGTGATGTGTCACTGTTCCGATGTATCAAGCTCATGTAAGAAAATTTTTAGATTTGCTCCACTTTTCAATGCAGATCCAGTACATACCACCAGAATGGGGGAAAAAAAGCCATGAAATCCAGTTACAGTAGACAGGTGCCCATCTTTCCTCACAGTGATAATTCTCTAGTTCATCCACATCAGAGCTCTGCCTCAGGGGACAGGAATGGAAACACAGATAGAGCCTGTGTAGTTCTTTTACTGAAGGGTAGAGAGAAAGATGGAACTGGCACATCAATCCTGGCTTTTTTTTTCTTTTTTCCAGGTTTATAAAGCGATAAATCACGTTTGTTATATTTTCATGGGAGACAAACTTCCCATTTGTAAAATAACAATACTCTGGAGAAATAAAATCAAGTGATGATTTTCTCAAGTTCTTACTCAGGGATGAAACAATTATATCTATGATCAAAGCGTTCGATAGTGACATTGCAAACTGAAAATGTGCAGCTGTGGTGTGATTCAACTTGCCACTCTTGCAAAATCCAATACTACTTCAAAAGGCTAACTGAACTATCAGTAGATAGCCTCAGTCTTCTGATCCATCTGCAATCATCAGCAATCATTATCCGACTACAGGAGGGGATATAAACCTCTGTGAATGGATGTTAGCTTTTCAAGAATTTTGATAGAGTCAACAGTTACAAAAGCAAATTCCAGCCTCTATCGCTACCATTTAATGCTTATTCAGCTGCTCAACTACCAACAGGTCTCAGGTCAACAGTAGGCAAACAGACGCACTATGGACCCTTAAATAAAAAAAAGTATTTTCTGAAGAAGTAACAACATCCTGATACAGATTCATAAAAAGTTAAAAAGTCAAGGTTTGTGGGGTCTGTCTTCAAGAGAGAGAAAGAAAAAAAAAAAAACTTTCCAAATGTTTGTTTGTTTGTTTGTTGAACAGAGGTTGGATCAATCTGTTCTGATGCACTTCAGGATGTTGGGAAATCTAACCACTGAAGGGCTTCTGCAACACAGCATCAAGCACACATGCCGATCAAGTTGAAATGTTCAGTCCAGAAAAGTTTGGTAGCATTTTTTGCAGGTTCGGCTCAATGAATTAAAATAAAATGAAAAAGTTCAATTTTTTTCCATCAGTGCTGGGAGGAAGTAAGATTTCAACATGTTCAGAGGGGATGAAACCTCAAAGCATTACAAGATTTCATTTCAAGTTTGAGTGAATTACTATTCAAGCAGTGTCAATACTGAGTATCCTTGCAGTCTAATGAAGTTCACACATCCACAACTATGAGTAAGACTGCTGACATGACAGTTGTCCAGAGGTTGATCAGCAACACCCTCTACATGGAGGATAAGCATCAGAAGGACACTAACGGTCAGGCTGAATAAGACGGCTTTCTGTAGAGTGCTGTTTCAAAGTACTTCAATGGAAAGTTGACTGGAAAGGAAAGCGTAAGAGGTTAATATGTACAAGCAACAGGGATGATCACAGCCTTGAGAGGAGAAGGCAGTTCAAGAACTTGGGAGATTCATAAAGTTGACTGAGGGTGGTGTCGGTGTATCAAGAGCCACCGCGCACAGATATCTTCAGGAACGATGCTTCAACTGTCGCCCTTCTAACATCAAGCCACTATTGAACCAGAGACAGTGTCAGAAGCATCTATTGGACTGTTGCTCCGTGGTTCAAAGTCCTGTTTTCAGTTGAAAGTGAATTCTGCATGTCATTTAAAACTCAAGGTCCTGGAGCCAAGAGGAAGAGAGAAACTTCAGGATGTGTGAAGTAGATATATTTCAATCAGCTTTTTCAACCCGAGAAGATTTTTTAAATAGTGTCAACTAATACAGAGTCTTAATACAATACTTGTATTTGCCGAGATAACTAAAAGATGTCTTCAGCTTGCTCCAATCAGCTAGCTCTGTTGTAAAACTCAAACATAAGAGATCCACTGTATGCTTCAACTCGAGGTAATGCTGATGCACACACTTTCATGCAATGGTAGAAAATTCATAATGGTGACACTAAGGATGTCACTATTTGGCTTTCTTCTGTAATATATTTTTAAATCTAATCATAAACCAGATAATAATATGAACTGGAGGAGGAATCAGTCTGGTGTGTAATGAGGTTTGGTGAAGAAACTGATAGCTGCCACATCATGTTTTAAATCACCTTGTATGATTAAACTAACTTTGCTGAATAGCACCATATCTGCCTGTATAATAACTCAAGTGGTTGCTTTTGCGAGCCGAAGCATGTGATAATGTATGATGGAATTGCGTCTTATTTTTTTACTATTTCATTACACTATTTATTATTATACCTTACAGAAAACAGAGTTTTAGATAAAGAAATTACCGTGTTGTACTCAGAATCAACATCAGATGATATGAACAGTTATAAATAGGGGCATCATATGAGTTATTTTGCGAAAAGTTCAGATTTAATTTAAATAAAACAGCATACTGGTGCAAAATAAGATATTACTGATTTTTTTTAATGTCTATCAAAAGTTTGGCTTTTATTTCTGAATTTGGCATATTCACATCAAAAGTAATACATTTAACAAAGCAGTTGAACACCTTGTCAAAACCCTGTCTCAAGTTTTATACATATATGCTCATGTCATTTTTCAAACTGCTCAAATTTAAATGTCATTTCAAAGTATTTGAACATGTTCAATTGATATGTCAACAAGTATCGTTGATTTCAATGTTTCAATGAATTATCGTAAAAAGGTCTTGTGGTGTCCTTAGATTTCTATCCACGTCCCAATGAGAGCACGGGCAATGGGCAACATCAGCAATGATTCAGGGATAATTGTTCCATATAGTCGTGTCTGACTGCCACTTATACAGACCACTGGTTTAATATCTAATCAATCTGAATGAATTATGAGCTCCTGTCAGCTCTATTACAAATACAGACTTGACCATTACGCTTTTAATTAACCCCAAGTACAACATATCGGAGCGCAGCCCCACATGTCACTGAGAATTACTCTTGGTAATAGAATAAATGGCTCCACATATTTTACATACTGAATTAAAAATCATACTGGAGAGTGAACGTCTTTGGCCAGATGAGAGCAGAGTTTGTACGACTTTCAAGTGATTAAGGCAATCTCTTTATTCGGCTCTAGTTTCCATGGCGACATTGCTTGATTTGAAGAGCACAATGTGTGCATGTGTGTGTATAAGAGAGTGTTAAAACGTGTCTCTTTGCTCTTTAGTTTGCACAAAAGTTAAGAGTAGGGAGGAGATATTACTAGAAGCAAACCTGAAAACCTTCCCTGTGTGTAAAGTAAGTATTGTCTGCCATAAGATCCCTGTAACCATAGCAACTAGAAGCACATAAAGAACAAATCAAGTTCAAGTGTATTTGTCAAATATAATGGTACAAGGTTTTGTGCGGAAATGAATGTTTTGTAGTAAAAAAAATTACAATCCTTATGATGCATACACTTTTTATATTCAAGGCTTTGTGCTGACCACAAAATACCAAGAGGTTTAATGTTACTATTCCTGTGATGATTGAAACTTAATGGGACGTATGGTGTGATAGACTAAAGGGAATATACTGAGTCCTGATGGCCAGATGCAATCTCCAGTGGGAGAGTGTTTCATCAATTATACAAACAAAAACAACTTAGTGAGACGAGGTGAAAAGAGGGAGAGTTTTACCAAAGGCAAGACCAGTTTGATGAATAATGCAGTGAAAAATGATCAACAAAATTACAGATAGTCAACCAGCACATGTTTGAACATGTTTCACATACTCAAAAAATTATTAATATGCAGGACTGGGACCAAAGTGTTCATGGAAAAATGGTTGTCCACTAAGGTCTTGTGACTGCAACATGATAAAAGCCTCAAACCCTAAAATTTAAAGCTTAGACAGGATTTGATGAAATACTTGCGATACAGTATGAGTGATGCTACGTTATGAGGTCTATTAAATGTAATATGACAGGAAGGATAGGGAGGATGTCACAGTGTGACATATGATACAAAGACATATGTTTGATGGATAAAGAACAGCTTTATTATGATTATAGCAAATGAGAAGGGATGGGAGTGCAGTCTGAAGCAGCTGGATTCAGTGTATAGAAATCAGCATAGTTTATCTTTTGGTGGTTGGTTTACAATATTTTTTGGATATCATTCTGACATCGTTTTGCTGTACTATTAATGTTGTGGTTTTTATTAAAGTTAAATCAAATTTTTACTTAAAAATATGGTTTATGGGGCATCGATAGCCCAGTGGTATTGGTTAGCCCCACATACACAGGTGGCCTCTTTCCTGCATATCATTCCCTATGATCTCCCCTGTTTCCTGCTTTATCCACTGTCCCCTATCTGTAAATAAAGTAAGGATGTGCGTGGTTATTCGAATATTCGTGTAAACGGGGCTGTCCTTACTATCCGGTTAGTAAATAATATTCGTTTATTCTATAAAATAAATTTTAAAAGAGGGGGAAAAAAGCAAAAAGCAAAAAAAAGCCTCTTTTTAAAACGAAAAAAAATATGTTTTTACCGTCATGTCTTCATAAAAGTGTGCATTAAACAAGCTAAAATATGTGGATCATTTGCGTTCGACTCTTTCTGCTTGGCTCGCTGCTCTGGGCTTGCAGCACTGGCCTGCGTCATGCATGGTATCGTGAATTAACTTCCTCAGAGTGAATCAGCACATGTGATCAGCCAGAGCGATGTCGGTGAGAAAAAAGGGCAAAGTTTTGGAGTATTTTGATTTAAGTTGTCTGACTCTGAAGACTCTTCATTTTGTGTTTATGGTGTGAGGCAGGCCGATGACGCAGCGGGCTGCTTGGCTTGAGCGCAGCGGAGCTTAATTGCTTTGATCTTTCACGTACTTTATGTCATTCTCCAGCGCTACAATAAGATTCTGTAACATATTTTAATATTATAAGCATGGCTTTCATGTACTCTTAATATTTCTTTCAGATGATATCTGGCCATATAGGTCGACATGTGCTCAATTTGGGCTATTTTCTGGGAGTTCATTAATTTTCGTGTATTCGAATATTCAGTTTCAAAATGGTTGTTTAACCGTCAGTGAAATTAACCGCTGGGAACATCCCTAAAATAAAGGTTGAAAAAGAACAAAAAACACATCAAATGAATTAAATTGATAAATGCATTCTACTTAGTCGTGCTGTAATCCATCAGCGCTTGAATGCACTGCGCTGAGGGACTCTGGCGCATCTTAAAAGTGACAGCTGCTTTAATCCATACATCATATCAGAATCTGTATCAAGCCGTTTTTTGTTTAAGCATCCATAAATGTTCTGTAGGAAATTTAGGCAAACTTTCATATCAGGGTGGACAAGACTTATACCAAAGACGCAACTTAGCTTCTTCATCACCTTCCCACGACTGTCCCAGAGCATGTTATAGCCACAGATTTGTTTACGAGCCAAAAAGACAATCTAGGTGAACAAACACATCAAAATATTGCAACGTCATCTACTTTTATTGCAAAGCCTGCAAGTATATAATCTATCAAGTAACTGGATCCAACAACGATGTGACAAAGGGAGTTTCTGTCCTCCAAATCCTCTAACTCTCATTAAACACTGTGCCAAGTACACACAGTGTTATGAACACAGTTCACAAGAGGAAGCAAGAGAAAAGAAAGCACCGAAATGTTAGTTAGAAGCCTCCAATAGTCTCCAAAACATTGGCAAGCTGGTAAGGTCAACCCTAGACTCCTGATAACAGAAGTCTACTTGTTGAATCAGTTAAAAGTTGTAGTTTGATAACTACAGCTCTTCAGTGCTGAGGCATCGAGGGGCGGTGGGCTAACTTGGCTGGCTGGTTGAAGGCTGCTACTGTTTAACTTTACAACCAACTTTATCCTGTTCTTACTAAAACACTGACAGTAGACAAAGTAGAAAAAGGTACTGAAGTAAAGGCACTAAATCTTACTTTTTAGCTCTAGGCGTATCATGTGAAATTCAGCAATGGCAGAGCTGGAGTAATTAATCCATTTACCTCTGTATGACAAGTCACGACATGATACGATGCAATACAAACAAGCTGTCTCAGAATGAAGTGCTACACGTGTACTTGCCTCAAACAAAACAAATAATTAAAAAATATAATAAGCAAACAATTAACAATCTACATGTGGGAGCACAGAAACAAATGCTAGTAAACAGAGATTGGACAACCCTGTGGTAATGTTTACTAAACTAATTTTCCCTTCCACTAACGAATGATTGTAAAACTTTTGCATTTAATTGAATTACGTACGTCATAAAGGAAAAGTAATAATTGTGTTAGTCGTGGCAAATACGTTTTTAATCAGTTTGGATAATTACACAAGTCTACAAACACAATGAAAAGTTTTTTTTTTTTTTGTCAGTTATAAAAGAGCAGCTAAAAGAAAGAACATGTTTTACAATTTTCTCTGTAAAACAGACTGTTCCTCACTCTCACCCACACACAAAAACACCGTTTATACACACACATGCTGCAACACTGGGAGAGAAAGACGGTATGGGGGACTGCCTGGCCCTGAGGAGCCACTGAATTCGCTTGATCCTAATTGCACTGTCCTGCTGGGGAGAAAATGTACATCATTACAGCCATTAGTTACAATCATAGCCGATTAAGGCCAGCTCTAGCATGCATGGGGCCAGCGAATATCAGCTAACATAGACCGGTTATGCAACCATTGTCACATGCGACGAGCAGCCTCTCCTTCCCCACTTGCACAGGACAATGTGACCGCCTGCTTTGATTTCTCCGCTCCCCTGTGGGATTGCATTGTGAGGTATAGAAATGGTATTGTTTCTCAGGACAAAGTGATTTATGACAAGGGATGATTGGTGGATGGTTGCCACGTGTCACAGGTTAACGACCATGTATGATGGATCGAGACAAATGGAGGTGAAACTTCCAGAGTGCTACAAATTCCTTTAAGGAGAGAGAGCCTTTGCAGGTTTTTATGGTCCGTCTCTTACTGATGGATTTTACCTTAAAACATATTTTTCAGAGCTTTTTCCATATTTTGGCCTGGTTTTATCACTTAAAAAAATCACAGGCTGGCTTTACAAAAGAGCCAAGACTAATCCTCTCAGCACATCCTTCCTCCCTACATCTATTACACTCTTCTCTCAGGGTATACACGCGGCAGCAACAGAGCAGAGGAGGTCATCTGCAGTTCAGCCTGCAATTAACTCTCTGCCATTAATTGCTGAGAATAAACTGTTCGAAAAAATAAGGCACACAGTGGAATTTGGATGGCAATGGTGTGATTGGCTTTCATGGTGGCTTAGGCAGAAATGGCTCATACATAATGGCTAACAGTGTGCATTAGTATGCCATCAGATCACTTTTTTGCATGTAAGGACGCATTTGGGAGGAACGTATATAATCAAAAATGTGTGTGTTTGGAATACAGCAAAACAACAGGGCTCTTCTTGTGTTAGTTGCTTTGGTTGCCCGTTAGTAACCCTTCACTTTCATACAAATTAATTCATCCTTCAGCACCCAGAGGATGGCATAGTTATTCATTATGCGTGTCTGCTACTCTATGGTCGTACAGGTAGTGTACAAGCACAAGTCAAAAGGTGCAGGTCAATTACAGCCTCTGGTGGCTAAGGGTTATGAGTGTTGCTGAACTTGGGTGTGATCTCTAGAGACCCAGGGGAGGACGTGAGAAGAAGGCGACTATCAGCAATTCAAAACAGAGAATTAGACCTCTTTGTCTGTGCGAGGGAAAAGACTTTGAGACAGAGCCATCTCTCCACAATTAGCTCAAGGACTGGATTTTTTTTTCTTTTTTTATCTGAAGAAGAAAGGACACTGTTGATTAATTTTGACAGAAAAGAGTTTGCGGCCTATGAACCATTTTGGAAATGACATGGAAGAAACTAATCACAGAAAATCCAGCCGCCTCAAAGACAAGAGAATAGAAATGACAGGCTAATTAGTTTGGTTCCAGCCTGGTTCAGGATAGAGGACTCCCGATGCTGTGCTGTGAACTGTCGTGTAATGATGAGGGAGCTGGAGTGAGATTGCCAGTGCGGCCCTAAGACCCAGAAGTTTTAGAGGCGTGGGAGGAAAGGAAGCCAAGCTGTCCCCCATGTCTTAACAATGTTTGCTTCGCCATCTGATATTTGACATAATGAGCAAAAAGAAAAAAGCTTGTGTTCATTTATGCATGTGTGTGCAGGCTGGTGATTTTCTAGCATAAGCATAGATTAGGTAGGAGGTAATAAATGGGGAGAAGAAACTGGGGGCCCATCTGGTGCTCGGCACTACAACTTCTCCTGTCAACAATCCCTAATCACTGGAGACAGGCCCTATTAAAGGACACAGACGGAGATGTCCGGCCCTCAACGAAGCCCCCCCGTGAGCGCAAATCATTACTCTCCGCGTGTTAAATAAAGACATAGCTGCAGCCCTCTTACTTGTTAGCACAGGTCATTAGCCAGAGCAAATATGTAACGCGATGGCATTTCGGGACAATGGGTGTGTAGTAATGTGAAAGCAAACTTATTAAGAAGAAGAATGTAGAGAAATTAAAGGATCAAGTAAATTTAAGTTTCCCTGCTCAATGAAGGGAGAATAACTAAAGCTAATTTACAGATAAACTTACACAAACACAATCTTCCTAATAAATTTGTTGCAAGGGTCTGGGATGTATGAAGACAAATAGGATTCAGAACTGGAATTATTTTCTCATATCATGGTTCAGTTGACTTTTAAAACATGATCATACAGTAGTGTTGGAAAAGTCCCCAAGTGGCAAATTTCTTAGGGCACTTTAATGGATATTTGTGTTTTTAATTTGTAGTCCAAAGGTGAGCACAATTTATCTCATGTAGCTAAACGCAAGACGACAGTGGCTGTGGGTAAACAATGTGTGGCTAACAGGGACGGAACAGTATTGTCAATATCTCAGAAGTATCAGGGTATCGTATGGCCAAGAGTGTCCTGGTACCATCGTAGAACTGTGACAGTATGAAACTTCCAGGTGAGAAGGGTTGTTTTGTTTTAGTTGTAGTGAAGCAGAGTGGAACTACAGAGTAGGGCTGTAAAGTCCTAGTCGACTGGTCGACTTATTGGTCGATACCTGCTGAGTCGACCAAAATTCTGATTGGTCGACTCGATTATTTTCCCGAGTCAATTAACAGTCTATGGTTAATTTCATCAGGAGCAACATACCAAGTGCTAATGGGGGTGTTTTTAGAGCACCCTTGTTTCACACGTAACAAGTAACACGTAACACCCCCCTTATCTTCACCATTTTGGATTCGCCCAACCCACTGGAGACCGGAAGATTGAAGAGCATTAACGTTAATCTACATCTGGTGGTTTGATGAATGTTTATTTTTATTTTGAGTGTTTAAACTTGCCTTTAGTGTTTAATTACCTTGTTGTGCTGATATCAGTGTATTTTAACCCTGCCGAGACGCACTTCGCCCAGCGCCTAACCCAAACACTTATTGTGATGTAGTTATATCATGAGTAGTTATATCATTATATTGTTACATCCCTACTGGCTAACAGTAGAGCTAGCCTTCAGTCTTTGCTGGTAGCCCTCATATCTATGATGGTTATATATCACTTTAGTCAAGCAAGTTTAACCAGGGACAGCTTTTCTTATGATTTTATTCCCATTTTTAAAATGAAAAAGTGTCACAGTGAAAGTTGCCATCAGTCATCTGCACTCGCCAAGGTAGCAGAGCATCAATAAAAGAGGTGATGATGTTTAATCATTTGGTCGACGACATGAGCACGTCCCTAACATAGAGAAACTGCGAGTTGTCCGGTGGAAGATTTGGAGGACTCCAATTTTTCTGAGTTGATATAAATAATTAATGACCTCAGGATCACTAAGGCCACTTTCTGACATTTAGATTTTTAATAAAAGTGACAGCTGACTGCCTCAATCATCATCTTATAGCTAAAAAGCATGGATGTCTACCAATTCATGAGGAAAAAATGTAGTCATGATTTCAAGTGCTACGGGCGAAAATGGCCTGGTGTTAACATCTGGAGGAAAATATAGCTAAACACGTCTTGTGCACATGGACATACACACAAGTTCTTTGGTTGTTTTTACATCACAGACAAGCCTACATTTTTGTAAACAACAGTGTTAAAAATGTGCAAAAAATGGCAAATGATGGAGTCAGATAAAAATGTAACTGTGCATAACATACATGTTTGACATTGTTCAGGTTGGACTGGGATTTAAAGATCTGGTAATCAGTCATTCAGGCTGTATCACACATTTCCCTTACTGCTTCACAGCAAACAACTGTACCGAAAGAGAGGCTGAAATACTACTTCTTCTGAGTCTATGATTTACATAATCAAGGAAAAACACAGCAGACAAATTCTCTCACTAACGGATTGTATTGAACTTCACTGTTTCCATTATATTATACACCCTTCTATGGAAGAAAAGAGGGCTGATTTAATGCCCGATAAAGAAGGGGTTCTGTAAAATATGAACCTGTAATGTTGCAGATCATATCGAAGGATCAATTTTTATAGTCTTGTTTGTTGTATTAAATATAACCTCTTGAATTCTGTCTTAGAGATGCTGACTATCATAGGCCTGTTTATTAAACCTCTCCATAGTTTGACCACATAGGCTATTTCCTTTCACATGCATATGAGATGCCGATCAATAGCCTATTAGTTATTAGTGGAGAGGCTTTCCAGTGTGTGAATGTACCATGGAGTCAGTGCAATACGAGAGAAACAGCATGACAGGCTTTGAGTTAACGGCGTCTCGAAATGACCGCGAACCACAAAACTAACTTTGATGGCAAGAAGAAAGAAGATGGAAACTGAGGGTAGCAGGAGACAGCACAGCTCCTGAATGCGTGTTGGCTGCTCAAGGATTTCACATCTGAATATCAGCAGGATGAAAACTTCTTTTTTATTTCTGACTGTGTGGAAATGTAATGTTTTTTACATAACAGGAGGAAAGCAAACGTCAAATATGAGTGGAAAAATACAAGACTCATCAAGGCGGTTAATTCTCGAGAGTGAAATCCTTGAGGAGGTGTCAGGCAAGATCTTTATATCTTTGTTTCGCCATGTCGGCAGTGATGTGGTTGCTGACCAGCAGACATCCACAGAGTTTAACAAAGTGTAAGTTGTCTAGCATAACCTTAAAACTGGCAGTCTCCCATGAAACTGTGTCTAGCCCATATCATTCTTAAAAAATCAATACTGTATTCATTCAATCTGTCTCACTGTTGAAGATTTGTATTTCAAAAGGATCAAGATGGATTTTTGTTTGTCAATATCACTTGGGTTTGGTCTCAGTCGGCCTAGTCTTCCATTTAATCTCAAGAGCTTTTACTTCACATTAATGTGCGCTGTTGAATGAGAGAGCTTATCGGGTGGTGTGTAAGTGGATTTGGCTGCGGCGATGACCAAAAGCTTTGCACCAGAGACCTTTCAGACAACACATTTTTGAAGGACCGGTAAAGCTAGTTCTGACCGCCTGTCAACTTAAAAGCCATTAAAACAAACAGCACAATGAGAGGCACAGGGAGGATATTGACTTATGCTTTACTCAGGGGATGGCATGGCAGAAGGAAATAGAGGAATGTCAGAGACATCTGAAGAGAGGAGAGACACAGGTTGTTTTCAACGCCAAAAAACCCCACAAACAAAAACAGGCTTTTGTAGAAAATATTGATAGTTTCTCCTCAGAGAGAAAGAGACGTACCAGCAACCTGAGGACTCTTATAGTTATTACAGCCCTTGAAAAAAAAAGGAAAACAGAAACGCCCGGCTCCTTGCCATATCTGCTCCTGTCCCTCTCTCCATCCATCATATTCTTTAATGTAAGCTCTGCAGGATAAACCATTTAGAAGGACAAAAAGGGCGGACTGTGTTAATTCTGCAAAGCTCAAAACTTTTAATTAGGACAAGCTACGAAACAACAACAACATTAACAATAGAATACAAAAACAATAAAAGGGTAATTATCGTGGAGCCATACTCTGGCTGCCAAGAACACCATAAAACTAATTACCAGTGTCTGACAGCAGATGGTTTGGGGGTGGCAAGTTAAACTAGGAAGGTATATGTACATCAGAGGAAGAGTTGTTGATTCCAAAACACAGTCTTGTTTGTAGTTCTCCTGAGTCTTTGTCTTTGCTGCGGAAACATTTGGAGTGACAGAAAAGTGGAATGATTGACAGTTTCTTTTAAGAATTCAATTAAGGCAGCAAGCTGGCAGGATGTTCAGCCAAACACTCACAAGAAGTGTTTTTATTATCAGGATAGAAGATAAGAGAACTGACAATACAAAACCACAAACCCCCTTTCACAAATGCATTCTTGAAAATTCCTGACTTCGTCTTAGAGGGGTGAAGGTGACTCGGACTTTAAACTGACTTTTTCCTACCTTGAGGTTAACATAATGAATAAACACAGAATATAATGTTTGAAATTTCACCTCAAGCAAGTGGGTGAAGTGAGGGTGTTTTTAAAAAAAAGTTTTCCTGCTTTGTTCTTTCAACTGTTTATCTCAGATAACAAGTTTTCTAACCATTGTGTGTGATTGCAAAGACGTACCAGGGCTCGACAGTGCAACCGTGTCACTCCCATTTGCGACTAAAAATAGATGTGTGCGATTTGTAAAATGTATTTAGGGGCACATGTGCAAATAAAAAAATTCAGCCGAGGCAAGCAGCAGCAGCAGCAGCGCGGTTAAATCTACTGGGCACTCTTGCTGTGAACATTTGGTGTTGAATAAGGGACTATCAATAAATTACCGGTTGATGTTCTTAAAAAAGGCTGTTTTCCTTCAATAGCTTCAATGTCATGTGACCAATTGACCTAAAATTGATTTCAAATAATAGTACTAAGTTTGGACAATAAGACACACCTCTTTTTTCCCCTAATTTGTCCTCTAAAAAATTTTGTGTTAAATTTAAAGGCAAATGTTGAAAATTTTCTTCGCGAGCTTCCGACCTAAATTTGTTTTTAAATAATAGTACTTATGTCAACCAATAAGACAAACATTATTTGATGAATTTTCATTGTGCCCCTAAAGTTCTCTGTGTGGTCTTTACTTTTTCAACTTAAAAACATTTAGTTATAGTGTTTAAGTTAAGTTATATGAGATCAGTAACAGAGGGGTAAGACTAGACAAGTCTTTGACTTCTTCTTACCCCTTTTTTGGACATGTGGATACTCTGGTTTTGTTGTTGTTCTTATTTTGTTGTGATAAGTGAGATTGATGTGCTTCTAAGTGGGGCACTTATTTTATTTTATTCTTAACTGTTGTTTTGTGTGTCTTTTTTATATAAATTTTTTTTAACCATGTCCAGAAATAAATAAAGAAATAAAGAAATGAAATGGACTGCATTTTTCAAAAAGTTAGTGTCAAGCCCTGCATACTCATACATGCTACATTAATGGATTTTTCTCTGCTGCATTAAAACTCCTACCCCTTGTTTATTCTATTCAAGCTCTTCTCAGAACTTCTCATATAAAATCCAAACAGGAGATTTTGAACCCTGGCAGCCTTTCACACTGACAATCTCTTGACAGGCGCTACAAGTGTAAGCCACAATTCCAGAAAAGTCCTGAAATTGTCAGAAACTGTCAAAAGTTAATTTTTAAAAAGGGTTGTCTGGAGTTTAACCAGAGGACAAGGCGCTTGTGAAATCCAGTGTTCTCTTACAAGTCTCGTACAGCATATTCTTAATTACTTTCAGATGTTTGAAAAAGCGATCGCCATTCGCCGGCAGCATGGTAAGCGCAAGTTCAAGAGGAGGTTTAAAGTTGAGGAAAGGTCACTTAATGTGTCAATTAAAGCGCAGAACAAGCAAACATGGCCAAGGCAAAGCAAACACCCTCGGCGTTGTTTGCAGCTTGACGTGAAGCCCTCAAATAAAACATGTGAACCATGTCTTGACACCGCAGAGCTCAAACTCTCCTCTAATGGTGAGATGTGTTTGTTTTCTTTTTTTCTATTCTTTTTTTATTTCTAGGGTTTTAAAAAATGTTTTACAGAGAGATATCTGTGCACTTACAGAGAGAGGGATTCATTTGTGTATGTTAGAGCGGATGATTTACACACTGGCAGCCAGTTTAACAGCTGTTTTTTTCATTCAGTGGAGAGCTGTTGGTACTTTGTCCACAGTGGTTTTAAAAGTCTGTCTTTTCTCCTTATATGGCCGTGTGTAGCCTGCATGTAGATTGAAATAGGGCTCCACTTTATTGAGTTTCAGGTCTGATCACTCAGGGCCCATTTAAAAGGCAGAACCTGGAACATGTTGAGGACACCACTTTATATTCCTGAAAGCATTATGGCTGCAATCCAAAAGCACTGGAATAAATGTAATTAACAATTATGGTCTGCCCCTGCTTGACATCTCATTATTTGAGCTTTCCTGATGTCCTTCGCCTTTCCCTCCTGCATCTGTTTCTCTCCGCCACGGAAATGTTTCAGCCCCCGTCAAAACACGCACTGACAGCTGTGGGGGAGGAGGAGGGGTGAGATAGACACGAGTCTAAAGGCAACGCTTGTGTTTAAGTATGTTTTTGGCTTGGGCATCAAAACCAAGGGAGGGTTGAAAGAACTACCAGCAAACAAGTGGATTAGAAAATCCATTTGTGAGCCCTGACACTATGCTGCCTGCTGATATTCTGACATGAAAAGAGAAGGTGGGAATGTGGTGTGAGCACATCAAACACACAGTCAAACATGGCTGTCTGCGGCAAGCCATTAGGCCCAGGTGAAGTGGCTGATGGATGATATCTCTGTCCGCCTTGAATCGCTCACATCCTGCTTGCGTGACTGGATGAGGTCTTGTAGAACTTCTCAAAGTCATCGAGTAAGCCGACTGTCTCAACTAGCTCACCTCTGAGCACCATGACAGTAAGACATTTTTCTTTTATTTCTCTGGGTTTCGGAGATTGAAAGTACCTGCTAACAAAACGGCAGGCTTGGACTTTATCCAAACACATAACACAGTTCATCCTGTGGCTATATCAGTGTGGATACTGGGCTCTGATACTCTGTCAAATATGGTATGAAATAGTAAGAATGCAAAGATCTTACACTGTTATCTTGTCAAAGTTTTGTTGACTGTCATACTTTTCAAACTTACACTTAGAGCAAAAGCTTGATCTGTTCTTTTTTCAGTGGATAGATCCACCTAGTTTGGTGAATTAAGTCATCTATTTTTTTCAGGACTCTACTTAAAGGGATATAAAATTAATTTAGGGTCAAACACACCATAACACCGAGTTAGACACCCCCTCGAGAGATGAATGTTGTCGACCACTTGCTTCTCAAGTTATACCAACTTTAGTAACGACCGCACAACAGCAATACAGAGAGACACACGCTCAACCAAAAAGCCACTCTATAGCCACAAATAATGCTCAGAACAGCACCTAACCTCATCAACAGTACATATAGGGTCCTAGCCACAGCACTAGCCACCAAACATCTTTTTAACTTTGCCTGGTTCCTTTAGCAAAGAGACTAAACACAACTCACCTACTCTCTTCCAGCAGCCACTTGTTTGTAACAAAACCTCGGGCCAGTCCATTACGGACTGCTGCGGGGTGACGCAGCTCAAGGAAGAACATTTATGATCATTTCTTCATGGAAATGCAATCAGACCAAGACGCTAAGGCAGAAGAACTACAGCGTCTGCAGTGTAAAATGATTAATATAATGATTATTACTTCAAAGAAATTATTAAAAAATGATCATAAATGTTCTTCCTTGAGCTGCGTCACCCCGCAGCAGTCCATAATGGACTTGCCGGAATATCCTTTTAAATTGTGTATCAAGTTGTCATAAATCACATTGGCTGCAGCTATGTTATTTTGATTAATAAAACAACATCATCAATATCTCCCTCTTTCCCTCTCTTCTGCATCCATCTCCCTGCCCCTTTCTGCTTAGCTGATATCATCCCTAAACTGTTATAACACCCAAAGCATCCTCTGATATGCTTTACCTAAAATAGAGTAGTAATTCTTGGCTTTAAAAAAAACAATGCCGCACCCTGTTGCTGTCATGCAACCAACATACTTCCAGTTTGAAGTCAGCCTAAGAAGCAGAAGAAAGGGAACATCTTTTATGGAGGTTGAAAGATGTTGAAAGACAGTGGTTACAATGCCAATCTTTTGTTCATTGCGCAACATCCTGCATGCCATATGTTTCCCTGCTCCACTCAGCTCGCCGTCACACCTGAAGCTCATAGACAATACAAACGCTTCTTATCCACCGGTCAGCAAATACTGAGGTTTTTCCTAAGTCCTTTGGCCTCCTATCAAAATGTATCCCCATTTGTATCAAGGACAAACTGTTAAAAGGAAATCTTCATCCAAAGTATGATCTGACTGCACAGAGTGTCGTCATTTAGAAGTGAAAAAGACTGTCTAACTCCAAGTATACTGTCAAGCAGTAAGCAGTCTGCAAGCGAGGACGAACCTTGTCATTCAATCACCTAATAACCTTAACATGAAATCAGGCTAATACTGCTCACTTTTGTCTGCCATGTGCATCAAAGTAACATTATGCACGACTGATGAAACACTTGCAAAAATGAGTTTTAGGCTCACTACACTGAGTTGACAGAGCACTTCTAACATGGTCATAAAGAAGGCTCTTAATTACACCAGACAAGCTACATCTTTGATTTTAGAGTAACCTCACTTAGAAGCTAAATTATTCATTCCGATCTAGGAAAAAAATGTGCACTTCTAGTGTGAAAAAGCAGACTGTATTTATAAGAGGCTAGAAAATAAAGTGAACATTACAATTAGAGAATGATCAAAGGATTGAAGAAGTGTCGATATGAAGGAGTACAGTGGATTACAAAACTATGACGCACTTTTCTGTCGCAGTTGTCACATCCTGACACCAACCATTTCATTGAATATTATGAATGATAGAATCTTATATGACGTATGTCGTTTTTTGTTTTTTTTTACTTTTTTAAGTGTTCCCAGAAGAATTGTGTAACACACAGGTAACGTGAATTGTAAATCACGTTCCCTGTGTAATTTTCAGGCGCTTGTCTTCTGCAGAGCTCCAGTAGCTCATTAGCAATTCACCTCCGAGTCATGAGCGGAGGCAGCGCTGCTCTGCACCCTCCCCCACCGAGAAACCTTGTCCGCTGCTCTCCAACACAAATGACTTTGGGGGGGCCTGATGAAAGCTAATATCATAATTTGCTTTCGTACGAGCATTGCAATCCGCAATCTCTACTTCTCGGGGTCTGGCCAGCAGAGCGGGGTGCCAGGGGCAGAGCATGGACTTGTGATGTAGGAAATGTCACTGTGTCTGAATCTGCTGTTCGGATCTGCCAGAGGTTCACAGCCATTAATGCAGATATATTCAGAAATTTTGCACTTAATTTTCTCATGATATCCTCTAGCATTAGAAAAATACCATATAAACAAATGGTCAACAAGAGAAACATGATTTTTATCAGAGTGGGTCTTTAAGACTCTTATCTGGCAATGAATGGGGTCTGAGTTTTTGAGAAGCTAAAGCTGGCATGCATGTTGTTGTAGAACTGCAGATTCTTTCACATGTTTACTCAGATGTTTTCAAGAATTTCCGCTATATACTTTTGGTAACATCTGTGATACGACATGTATCCTTTACCAATTTAAAGATATCAAGGCATACTTTAAAGAGCTTTGAAAAGTTTTTGTATTTCTACCTTAAAGTTTAAAAATATCCTAATTATAATAATTATTGGTCTTTGTTCATTAGTATGTAGCACATCTGCTTGAATTCATAATTGCTCATAGAAACAGGAACTTGGAGCGTGATCAAACAAAGGCGTTCATTTGATATAGTTTGTAATTAGAGGGTAATCATGAGTGCAGCCTGGATTTTAAAGAGATAAGGTTCTATATTAGTTATTTTGTCATCCTTTCACATCAGATTTCAACAAATCCCACATGAAACTGTGGAAGTAAGCGTGTCATTTAAAACGACCTTCTCTTTAAAAAGCTTGAGAAATATCTCAACACTCTGTTCAATCTTTTTCTGGGATACAATGGGTGTTTTATAGCTCCATTATAAGAAATCTATGAGTCTCTGAGCAACACATTTCAAGAAAGTGCATCTTCACAGCTTGAAACTTTTATTTTTCTGAGTTAAGATCTCATAACTCCAAAAACATTTGGAGCTGTGCTTTTCACTATCGAGCTGCATCATATCAGTGTTTACAGCTTGTCTGGATGTAAGATGTGTCGAGTGTGGCCCCGGATATGCAGGGAGAGGAGTATTTTTCTCTCACTGCTGAAGAAATCCCAGCAAAGAGGAAAAAAAAAAAGACGCCGCAGATCAATACCAACTCGGACCAAAGTGGAATGGATGACACGTCTGACCCGCTGAACTGGTCGGAACAAAAAGTCATTGGGCCATTATCGGGGCATTCGTGCAAGATGTCAACAGTAGCACAGAGGACAGAGAGAGCTTCAAGAGCTGCTTGTTAAGGACACAGACTCTCTCAATAACAGAGAGAGACTGTAGGTAGACAGCTGGAAGCAAACGCCTCTTAACATACAACAAAGATAACACACACATACACACACAGACACGCATACGAATCAGTGATTTAGAAGTACTCAGAAACTTTCAGGTCCGATTTATTGCATTGCTGCCAGTGGAATAACTGTGCGTTAATTGATTTGATGGAGACTGTTCATGTACTTTTAATCAAACCACCCTGCTGTATTGATCAGTTTGAAATGTACAATTGCCTTCCGCTCCCATATGAGAGATATTACTCAGGGGAAACTATCCTATAATTAAGAACCGGCCTGAAACCATTAAATCCCACTGTAGCTCGAGCCTTTGCCTTTCCAAGCTGCAAGCCTCTTTAGTTTGGCGTGCACAGCCTCTGATAGTCCATTACTTTGATCTACAGGTCACAGAGGAACAAAACTCAATAGGCAGTCTAAGACGCTGTTATGAACTATATCTAATTCACGTGCTGCTGGTTGGAAATCTATGACTTTTCCACAGTAAATCAGCTGTAATTTCTAAAAAACGATGGAGAGGGGGGATAAAAATAGCTTACTGTCACACTGCATCATTTCAGTAATACAGCTGAGCGGCTCAAAGGTGGCAGAATAAATGAATGGGAAACCCCGACTCCAAACAGCTCTATCTAAATCCCCATAAAAAAGATAACTGCGACTCACCACATTTGAATTTCAGTGGGGTATTTGCTGCTGGTGTGACACGCTGAAAGTTCCTGAACAGCAAGGACGTATCGGCGGAGTTCTTTGTGTCACATAAAAAATTTATTACCAGCTTTGACCGTGAGTGTATAGTGCAGAGCAAAGATCTACAGTTCAGAAGTAACTCCAAACTGCTTCAATTACCATATGAAATTTAATAATCAACGATGCTGCTGTTGAATCTACTTACCGTGGCGGAAAAGGGTGGACAAATTCGTCACTTTCTTTCTTTTTCCTGTCAAACTTTACAAGCTGACTGCACTGACAAGCTCCATACCCTGTCAGGAAGTTTAAACTCTCTACATCCAATAAGTCTCCTGTGGAAGTTCAATCATTTCTCTGCTGAGTTTCTATTTCCATCCTGGGTGAACTCAGTTCCTCCTTCCACATATCTGCTTACTGTCTCTATCAAAATGTTAATCTGGATGTGGAAGAACAAAAAAATGTTTGATAAATGCATGTGCCACATGATCAGAAAAGCAAATGAAATCACCAGGAAATTCAATTTTTTTCTGTGAAGCAATGCTTTATTAAAGTGATGTCTCTGGAGCCTGATTACCATGACTGGCATCATTTTTATTATCATTAATGGTATCAGAAAGAGAAATTAGATTTATACTGCGTTTGCTTTTTTATACAACAATTTGTAGTACAAAGTTTGCTGGTGAAAGTAATGTCAAAAAAGTTTCTAGAGTAGGTATTCAACAAATCAGGGAAAATGGGAACAATAATTCAAACACGCCCTTCCCAGCACTCAGTCTTTAAGAACTTGCTTACAGCTTTAACTGGATCCCTCTCACAACATTAAAGACATATCTCTTCTTTAGCCTATAGAATTAAACAGTAAACCTTAGAGCAACAACCACCTGACAAAAACCCACAGCAACCAACCGTTGAGTGACAGTGATAGCTTAGTTTGGCTAACATCAGTGATCCCAAGTTAATTAGCTTGCTAAAGCTAAGCCTAAGTGTGTGCTACTGTTACATCCCACTGTGGTTGACTGTATTAGGCGAGCAAATTAGCTAAAGCCCCAAAGAGCATCAGATAACACAAGCTGCGTTTCCATAACATTATTTCGCAAAATAAAAGCGATGTTTATCAAATTTCGACAAAGTACAATTGCGATTTGCGGGTGTTTCCATTGAATGGTGTTCAGTGCATAAGCGAGCCGTCTGCCTCTTGTGAGCTGTGTTTGAATGGCCGTTGCCTAGCAACGAGGTAAACTTCCTGCCCGTGCGACCTTTATTTAGGTCGCACAATATTTAGGTTTTGCGCAAATCTATGGGTAATGGAAACGCAGTTACAGTCTCAGAAACATCAAGCTTGGGTGATCTGGCAAGAATAAGTCGCCTTGCTGTAGCGGTGACCAAACATAGCCAACTTTTGGCGAAGTTTGTTAGTATGTCAGCTGAAACTAGTGGTGCAATGGATCATTGTTGATCCTAACGGATACCGCTCCACATTTCAGCATGTATGTTGCGTGTGTTCACTTAAAGGCCGCATGTTCAATCCACACTCACCTGTCAAGAACAGCGTAGTCATGGCTAGCGGAGGAACTTGGAAAAACCTCCTCCATCATTTAAGTCACATGTTTGGGAGCATTTTAGTTTCCCTGTAAATAACACTGACGGCAGAAGTAGGTTGATGGACAAAACCATCACAGTATGTAGGCACTGTGGGATGAGAAAGCTGAGATGTGAGAGTGAAAATAAGTCGGGCATGGCTACCCATTTGAAGCAACATCACCCTGGTGTGTCAGTGACAGGAGCCAACCCACTTCAATCAGACGATGGTGCCAAGTCTTTATGAGCAGGAAAAGACAAAAACCGTGGACGAGTTATCCCAGGTATCCTCTGTTGCACTCAACACAGACAGGTGGATTTCTAGGGCGACAAAAAGCTATGTAACTATGACTGCTCACTACATCACAGCGGAGTGGGGGATGAGGAGCCCTGTGCTGCTGCAGGCACGCCCCCTCTATGAGAGTCACACAGGCACAAATCTGGCGCAGGTACTGACAGAAGCAGTGGCTGAGTGGAAGAGAGAGACTTTTCTTTTTTTATGCCGATCCAAAAAATGACCCGATCCGTGACTCAAAACCATGATATGCCACGGACTGTAGGGCTTGTTTGATCCGTTGCACCTCGAGCTGAAATTGTCACTCCCTCCTCTCACAGCACACCTGCTGTAAGAGAGAGAAGGAGAGCAAGCCGTGGCATAAGTGATCGTGATGTGGTGCCTCCTGCCAGTCTGTTTCATACAGTCGTGCTAACATTTGCTGTGTCCCATATGGGGCCATCGTAAAATATATTTTGAGTATGTGTGGGATTTTTCCACATCACAAGTGCCACACTTGCGAAAACCAGTGAAATCACTCAAAGGGATTCAAGCTAAACTATATTACGTATATTTTCTTTTTGGAAATTGTCAGATCTAAGGTCACAGTTACTGAATTACCTTACTTAGTGTTGTGTTGTTTGCGAACGATTCATTCAAAAGAACCAAATCTTTTAAGTGAACGTCCTGATCTGAATCACTTCCTCGAGTGATTTGTTCATTTCTCACTTCAGTTGAGCTAAAGTAAGAAACAGCATTGCCAGGCCAGCAGCTGGCAAACGAGGGACCACATGCACTGACACCTGAATCACATGGTGAACGAAACACGCATTGAACTACACCCTCTGAAGTCATTTTTGTCAGACAAAACTACCTTCTTTTTTTTATTTTTATTTTTTACTGCTACATGGCCACCACAACAACTGGCATACAATAAGACACAGCATGTAACAAGTAGTGCATTAAACCCATTGCATCCTATCACTGCAGCGGTTTGCGAGGGAACGGTGCATGTTCAGTCTGAATTCTTCTAAATGTTCAGTGAATGAATCACTCACTGAGTCCAGACCTGATAAACAGCATACCATAGGACAGTACACTTAAAACATGACAAAATGACTTATAAACAAGTTCATGTTTACAAACCTGTTTGCCAAAGCAACAAAACCAAACACTCTCGTCTCCAGGTCCCAGAGGCTGAATCCTGAACCGTTCAGCTGTCTATCAGATCAGGGGGTTCAGGAAGTCGCAGGCTTCTCCCGCCAAATGCTACATGATTCGGTGATTTACTGTACGAATCTTTTGAACGAATCTTTTGAACGAATCTTTTTAGTGAACTGATTCTAGTGATTCAGTACATCTAAAAGAACTGCCGTGCCCATCACTACCTTACTGTGGCTGCTTTAACACATTGGTGGCTGACTGTCAATTACATTTATGCTCACAGGTGAGCAGGTTATCATCTACAAGTGACACTCTATTATTGTATAAAACTCCAGAGAAGTTAAAGACAAAGTGTGACAAAGTATTAAAGAAAATAGAATTATGGCGGTCTGGGGGAATCCTCCCCGGGGGGAAATTTAATTATGCAAATTCATCTTTTAGAAGCATTTTGAGACTACATTTTAAGAAAAAAGGGGGCCTCGGTTTGATACCAAACAGAAGAGTGGAGGAAGTACTCAGATCTTCAAGCAGCCTAAGAGTAGTGGCATCACAGTGCAGAAATGCCCAATTAGCTCTGTGTCGTACTGAAATTACTGAACCATTAAAATATACTTTAAAGAACCAAGTACAAGTTCCTCTTATGCAGAATGGTGTGTTTGAGGACATGTGTCATATTATCGAACAGTAACTTCTGATATAAAAGTCTGCTCATCGCTTTTTTGTCGCAGCTGCTGTACTGGGGCTTTTGTAAATCAAGTTATGTGTTTTCTGGTTTTCTTTTGATCTATTTACATGTCTCTGGGCCGTGCGTGAGTCCTGTAAGCAACAGATTAAGATAATTTCTCAAGATATCCCAATTTTTCCTTGTTTGTGCGATAAATTTGACTCTGAAAAGTTGCTGGTCGTCAGATTTAAAACTTTCTCTAAATGTATTAGATTTAAAGAGTGCAGTTTCTGCCCTCGAGGTTATGTGTAAAAGAAGTAGAAGACAACTTTAAGCGGACGTTACTTCAAACATGTGCAGTGGTTGCATCTTTGTTCTCTCCTCTAACATGTAAAACATATACATACATATAAAAACGGTGATTTAACGTACAGATACCCGTCTAGCAGTCGTCAGGTGAATCTGGTTACAGCGCACTCTAGATGAGCTTTCTCCTGTATTTCCCTCTGGCTGGAGATCATAAAGAGGGGCACTTTAATCAACATACAGCATGTCCAGACATGACAGGGAAACACACCTCTATGTTTACTGTCACAATAAAAGCACCGCCTTACCCAGACATTACGAGCAGTTTATTTAAATGTCACCATCACTGCTTTTTTCTCTGTTGCATTGAACTCTGCTTCCTTATATTGTTCTCTTTCATTTAATAGGGTTTCTTTGGCCATCTTCAAGGTCATTATGAAGGTCAGGAGGCAGAAAAACATCTAATTAAAGAAGAGTATGAAACCAGAGTGTGTAACACAGTTTTTCGTCTGTACTGCCAGCACCTTACTTCACTCTTTGGTGTGTGTAGGTTCAGGAAAATTCCACTCACAATCACAGCAATTATGAAACTGGCTGAAATCCATAACACTAACGCAGGGCTCCAATCCCTAAAGCTAATTTCAAGTTTTAAAAACAAAGTTTCTGTCTCTGTAAAGGGTTGTCTGTTTGTTTTAAGTGGATTTTTATGAGGTACCTATCAGCAAAGACTGTATCACCTACAGGACAAGAACATGAGTGTGTTGCATCCACAAATGGTGCAAAAACGAATGGGCTTTCTGATGGCACAGTTTTATTTAATTTTTCATTTAACCTTTATTTAACCAGGTGAGGCTTATTGAGATATAAAATCTCTTTTACAAAAGCGACCTGGCCAAGAGGCAGCAAAGTTACAGAGTTACAGTAAAATCATTTAAAATAAATAACAATAACTCCATAAGAAATACAATAGAATAAAATAAACAAAATTGTCAGTGATAGAATAACAGCAGTGTAACATCTTGTTAAAAACAGTCACAAAGGCCAATGCTTTCCAGTTCCCTCGTTTTAAGAATTTTCACAAAGTCCTCAAAGGAGATCAGATCTGATCATTTTAGTTCCTTCTATAGCGAATTCCATGCAGTGGGAGCAGCAAAGCAGAAGGCCCTTTTTCCTAACTCAGAGGGGACACGAGGAGTATTTAACATCAACAAGCTAGTGGATCGTAGCCTATAATAAGGCTGCACGATATTGGAAAAAACTAACATTGCAATTTTTTTAAACCCCGCGATATATATTGCGATATTAAAAATACAGGAATTTTCACCAGATGACCTGAATAGCATTTAATGTTGTGCTGCACTGCTGAAGTCTTGAGGACAGTTAATCTGCTCTGATCTTACCTCTTTTTGTGAATGTTAGTAGAGTGGCTTCTGTCTGTCTCAGAGATATTTTTAGCTTTTATTGTTCTGGGACGTTATTGTGGCGACAGATGAACACAGAACACGTGTTTTGGTCGCCATCATCCTTCTTAGAACTGAAATAATTCCAGATAACTGACTTTCCTTTTCTTTTTGGCAACAAATCTTCATTTTCGATGGTTTTCTCTTGTTCGTTGCTCATTTTGCGATCGTTGTTGTTGTTGTTGTTAGTGGTGTTGTGCCGAGAAACGCATGTCCTCCGAGAATTGCATGCACCTCGCAAAACGCGCACCGCTTATAGTAGAGTGGTCCACGGAAATGTACAATTTAAAACCCATACAGTTCTTATTTGTTGGGCTTAACAGTCATGAGTGAAGTTCCGAAAGTAATTCTCAGCGGACACGCGTCTCCCTCCATGTGCAGAACATGTGCAGGGGTGGGTTTCCTCCTCTCTGATTTTGATTGTCAGCTGACAGAGTAGTCTGATTGGCAACTGAGTTAAGGATGAAGGTGATTGGTGGATCGCTGCAAAGCACATGCAGAGTCACATGCAGTGTATCTCAGTTAGTTACCCTTGAAATTAACTGAGTTCATTCGCCTCCAATATCGCAGGCTCTGCGATGTGACTATCGCACACACGTACATCGCGATGACGATGTTCAAACAATATATCGTGCAGGCCTAGCCTATAACATCCATTATTTCTTACAAGGTAAAATTTAAAAACTGTATACCTACTGAGATGTACACGTCTAACTTCAAAGCCTAGCTTTCATGTAGCTTCACTGGCTGTTTATTTAGAAAAGGGACAAGCTGACCGGCATCTCCTGGGGCTTATACACTTACTATTCACAAGCACCTCATTCGGACCCAACCAAAAACAGCAACAAAAAAAAAAAACAGAAAAAATATTCATCGTTAAAAGTCAGACTTTGCAAACTGCAAGTGGAGCTATCGGTGAGCTAACTTTAGCTCAAAAGACAACTTAACCTTCTCATCTGGTGAAATGGTAAGAATTAAAAGCCACTGGTTGTTACACTAAGAGTCTTGTTCAAAACTTTGTTGGACTTATAAAGTTCTGTCTTGAATACAAGTTTTCATTTGTGCCTTTCATTTGTTTGTTGATTGTGTGCTCTGGGTCTGCAACTCTTGAACGAGAATAGAAAACCTTGAATCTTTTCAGCAGTATGACTGAAGCACAGTCTGGTTCTTTCTGTCGAAGGTGTAAGATGTGTGACATGTGCAGAGA